TATATTTTCATATATTAATATATACTCGTACAATTTGAATACAATCGTGCATCCATTTTTTTTTTATACCACTGAGGTGGCAAACAAGCATACGGCCCACCTGATGGTAAGTGGTTACCGTAGCCTATGAACGCCTGCAATACCAGAGGTATTACGCGCGCGTTGCCGACCCTGAAGAAACCTCTTTACCCCCTTTTTGAAGAACCCCATGCTGTAGTCTCTCGGGAAAACCTCGGCAGGAAGCTCATTCCATAACCTGAGTGTTCGTGGGAGAAAACATCTCTGAAACCGCGTTGTACGCAACCATTTAGGCTGTAAGGTATGAGGGTGAACTCCCTGTCGATGGCGAGCCGTACGATGATAGAAAGTGGCCGTAGGCATCATATCATCCATCTGTTTTGTAATACTAATTTCTTGAAAGTTTATGGAGAAGTTTAGAATGAAGCTGATAAAAAGTTATATCAGCCCTTCCCCCTTGTGGGGGGGGGGGGTTTCCAGTAGTTGCCAAGTTTGACAGGCGCGAAATGACAATCGCAATTAGGCTTTAGAGATGTTTTAAGAGAGACGCTGCTGCCCATCCCTCGCTCTCCCTTAGTCGACTCTTACGACACTCACGAGAAAGCAAGGACTGGCCTATTCTACGCCGGGACCTACACAAAAATGTCTGTACATTGAATGTACTTAAAAAAAATAGTGTAAGGCCTTTTAATAGGAGAAATAGAAGCCAAAACAAAATTTTTTAGAAAGTATGTCTGTCTATATGTTTGTTCCAGCATCACGCAACACTTACTGCACCAAATTGAATTCGATTTTCACTAGTGTATTTCTGAAGATGTAACTTAATTTTTTTTTAAGTTAGAATATCTTTGCTAACAAGTTGTTAAATTAATTCTTGTAACTTTTTTTGCGTTCGCGTTAAAGAATATATATATTCATATATTTTTTATGGAAACAAAAAGAGCGGTGTCATTATATTATTGCTTTGTCGCTACATAGAAGTATTTAAATGCACGCGAGGAACATCAGTAATTAAGCCAATGAAACAAGTTAATTGAACATAAAAAAAAAATACTCGATATCTGAGAGTGAAAAGGAAAATCAATTCAAGCACAAGCACACTTATACTCTAGCGGTATCAAACTTTACAAGGCGGGGGCTATGGTCGCGCCGATCATTATTCATTAGTTTAACCGATTACCCAAAAGTTTTCTCTCATAAAAATAATGTAAAACCAAGTCCTGCCCGCTCCTAAGAAGATAATTCCCCATAATTCCGCTTAATTAATAATGAACAAAGATGTTTCCTTAAAGTGAGTTATTGATCGTAAAATACTGAATGTTACGGACTTCTTGTTGAGTAATAAATTTAATTCCAACCCCGTTACAAACTTGTAACAGACATAATTTTTTATAGACGCAGATAACTTTGATAGCAACGTAGGTTTAATTTAAATTGAAAATTTGATATCTGCTGACTTAAATTAGCGTAGCCGATTTAATCCGCAATAATTTCGAGTATTGGACACTTCGTTTACAACTTAGTATTAGCTGGTAATTATAATTTGCTATGACAACCCTAACGTACGAATCGAATGCAAGAAACAATATCTATAGGCGACGGTTACCACTTTCCTACAGGTGGGCCGTCAGCTTGTTTGCCATTCTAAGTTGTATAAAAACAAATTTTTTTATTATAATTAAAGCAGAAAACGGTAAGTAATTATAAAGTAACAACAATAAGAGAAATATTTCTAATTATACAAGCTACAGCGTCAGTAACTAAGAGATCTGAACATTCACTGGGAAAATATCTTTTCACATCCTCATTTGTTTTATCTACGTCTAAAGTAATAATAGGTAACAGTGGGCTTTGAACTAAAGTACTTTAACTGTAATACTCCATGTAAGTAAAACACAGCCACCTTTTACTATTTCAAGAAAATCATTACGAGCGGCCACATTGTTTTTGTAAGCTCCAAGAAACACTTTAAGGTGTTTATTCTCGCTGGTGTCGGTATTCTTTTTAAGAAAAATTCGTTAGCCTGCCCTACTTGGGCTGAATTTCGATTAGAAAGACAAAGAGGCGATTGTAGATCGTTGGGAAGTGGGGAATCAATTAAATAGAACCATCGATTCTTGGGCGCCGATAATGTCTGTCAGAGTAAGTGAAAAGTGCTGATAAGATTGTTGGCGAGCGGCCGGCAACGAGCGCCTTTAATTATTTTCAAACGTCCCAAGTTCACGTGTTTTGTTTCAGGTTTTGCAGGGTGCTTTCCGTAAAAGCATTTGTCAATTGGAAGCTGTATTGTTGTTATTTTAGAGAAATTCACTCTTTTTTTACATGGATAATTTTGACTTTATTATTAACATAACTGTACATAGAAGCCATTGCAACTTCATTAATGAAATTGATATAAAATCAATGGGACAAATATAGGACCTTATATAATTTAAAAAAAAGTATTATCGAAATCGGTTTAGATTTTAATTTTTAATGATCGGATTAAAGAAAAATTATATTTTGGTATCAAAGTAAGGTTACAAAGGTATACTCTCTTAGTCCTGAAGATGAGGTACGCTATTTTGGCCCTAGGTTAAGTATGTTTATATACAGATTAGTAGATAAATAAATAAGTAAATAAAAAAATAAAAGTGCTTGTAAACAAGTTTATTTGAATGAAGAATGATTTGAATTAAATTGAATATATCGTATCTCAAGAAATAATAAATTTGTATTAAAATAGTGACCATGTGACAATACTTTTATAATAAAGTTTACCAATAAAATTGTAGCTGTGTAGATTTCGATGTATGAACGGAGGCATAGTATACTTATTTTAAATTCACGATCGGGACTTAACGCGATGTGAAAGCTTTCACAGGTAAATAGTACCTACATACCTGCTTCTTTATTGTCGACATTTCAATTTGGATAGCACCGTCGTGGTCACGACAGGCCTGAAGTGTGCGGCTTCGTCTGGCAGCTCGCGCAGTCTCCTAGGAGGATAAAAAATAAATAAATAAATAAGGAGAATAAAGAAGCAGGTATGCAGGTACTATTAACCTGTAAAAGCTTTTACATTACGGTAAGTCCTTTTTTTCAAGGTACTTTCTCCCACGCACAACCACTCTTTGGAATGAACTTCCAGCAGCAGTATTCGAAACAATACGAAAACATAACCTTCAAGAAAAGAGCATATTCCTTTTTAAAAGGCCGGCCGCTCACCTGTAATGCCGTTGGTGTTGTGGGTGATCATGGGCAGCGGTAGTCACTTACCATTAGGTGAGCCGCATGCTCGTTTGCCACCAGTGTTGTAAAAAAAAGTTCTGTTCGTGTATTTAAAATATGTGTAAACAATAACGCGAAAGTTTAAAATTAACTTTAGCATACTTTGTAGCCTGAATGGCCATATTTAAATACAAGTACTTATTAATGATATATATATATATATATATATACATATATATTCATGCACTAGCTTTATCGAATTCTGCCATATAAATGCAAAATAGTTTAGCTATATGTCTACGTAAGCATATATAGCGACATAATGATATTAATTAGGACTGCGAGTTAAGTTTAGAGTTATATTTGCCTTAGAAATGTTCCTAAATGTAACTCAGCCCATTTATCATTCTAATGTCGGTTTTGGTTACATGGGACCAGGCGACAGATTGGCCCGTTCCAAACTATCCTTGGTACTTACTACAATTTTAAACTGATAGCACTGAATGCTAACAGGTTATACTATATATATATATATATATATATATATATATAGAAGATCTTATCATGTGATTCCTCATTCCTCGTGACATCTAAGGGAAGAAAGCACTATGTACAGTACCATTCTCTTGCAGTGCCTATGAACTGGGATGAAATGATTACCTTTTACTATCAGACTAGCCGCATGGTCGTATAGTCACTAGGGGTGATCAACCGGTCGATGGTGATTATTAATCCAGTCGATCGTAGCAAGGCAAAAAATATAATATATTGCTAATCTAATTTACCAGAGGGAAACTTTGTACAAAAGTCGATTGCTTGGGTACCTCTGTCCCATTGGTGTTTCAACCGTGAAGCAGTTGTCAGTTGCAAACGCATGGCTGTGTTTCGGTTTGAAGGGTGGGATATGGCGTGAATTTACAGGGTACAGAGGAATAACATCTGAGTCCTCAGGAATGGCAACGCATGGGGGGTATCATGAGCGAGACAGACATACTCTGTTATGTCCATGGTACTGTTCATGTCTATAGGCGACGGTTACCACTTTCGATCAAATGGACCGTCAGCTTGTTTGCCATTCTAAGTTGTATAAAAAAAAAGATGCTCAGAGGCAATGCTCACACTAATATAAATAAGTGGTCCCTAAGAATAATTTTCAGTTTTATGTTTTCCCTCTTAATAAAATAAAAAAAAAAACTACATACATACATACATACATATCTGTCACGCCTGTCTCCCATTAGGGTAGGCAGAAACAATGGAACACCAAATGTTTCGATTCAAACAAACCTCTTTCGCTTCTTCCACACTCATCAATCTTGTCATACACGCTCGTCGGTTACGGGTACTTTTAATTTGGCCCTTCTTCAGCACGTCGCCTATTTGGTCGACATACGTCCGTCTACGGCGGCCCCTACCGACATCTCCATTCATTCTTGCTCGATAAATCTCTTTCGTAATTCTTCTTTCATCCATCCTCTCCAAATGACCAAACCAAAAAAACTACAATACTATATAATTGTGTACTATAATAAACTATGTTGTTTCATTTGAAATTTCAAGCAGTATATAATTGATAGAACGCACAGTGTTTCGTCAGTAAACAGTAGATCTTGGGGTCTAGTCAAATTGTTATAGAGGGAATAAACAGGTGTTATTATTTGAAATACTTAGAATTAAAATAAATTAAAAGATATTAAAATTTATACTAATTTATTTAATACCATTATTTACATTTCAAAAACCACACAATCTGTACAATAGACAAAACGCAAACCTATCCAATATATCTCTTATTTTTAATAAAAGATACAATTTTATACATTTATTACCTATTTTTTTTTATTAAATCGATTAATTAACAAATAATATTAAATATTAAGGTATATAATGTTTAAAAGTTCGTTTTTTTTTTATTGTGCAATATTAATTATTTACAATTTATCGACAAGCGTGAGGGGCAAGCTTGGTTATTATACATACTAAATGGGTCATTTCATATTATGTATTACATTGTATAACTATATGTAACATTTAATAATAGTATAATTGAAAATTATATAACAAAAATATAACAATACAGGAGTTGCAATGTGAAACCGTAGGCTTATATTCGTAGTTCTTTAAAAAGACATTTTTATTAAAATTTCAATAAAATTTGTGTATCCTCTATACACAAATTTCATTAAAAAATAATTAATTAAAATCGATTCACAATCGTTACGGATAATTACATAAATATACATGTATAAAAGTAAAAGTGAATAAAGAAACTTTGTTAAAATTATTTTTTATTAAAATTTTAATAAAATTTGTGTATAGAGGTTTCATTAAACTATAATTAAATTAAATCGATTCACAATCGTTGTGGATAATTACGTAAATATACATGTATAAAAGTAAAAGCGAATAAAGAAACTTTGTTAAACATATTTTTTATTAAAATTTTAAGAAAATTTACGTATAGAGGTTTCTTTAAAAAATATTAAATAAAATCGATTCACAATCGTTGTGGATAATCACATAAATGTACCTGTATAAAAGAAAAGCCGAGTAAAGAAACTCCTCCTTTCTTATAGGCGATTAATTTAAAGTGTAGTAATGATGAACAATATGATTTGGCACATGATTATAAAGACAAATATATATATTTTTATTTATATGAAAAAGGAAGCCTCAAATTTATCATTCTCTATCAATTTATTAAATCCGAACTAATTTAAAAGTATGAATAATTTAAGTTTCACAAAAAAAAACAACGTTAATTGTGGTAAAACTAATTAATTTCATTTGAAGTAATCAGTTTAGTTAACTACTTAACCAACTTTGATAAAATTTATATGGGATCAATCTGTATTTTTATCCATTCAGATAAATGAAGAAATTTTCAAAATCGACTGGATTTTTAAGGTAATAAACAAAAAATATATATCACCGAATTGAGAACTACCTTTCTTTTTGAAGTCGGTTAAAAAAGTAATCCATAATTGTATCGTTTGAGATTTATGGCAAAATTACTTCTTTGACAATAATTGCATGTATTTTTTTATGCAACTTAGACAAGCTGACGGCCTACCTGATGGAAAGTGGTAACCATCGCCCATATACATGAGCAGTACCATGGACATAACAGAGTATACTGTTTCGCCCTTGATAACCCACATGCGTTGCCATTCTTGAGGACTCATGTGGTATTCCTCTGTATCCTGTAAATTCACTGCTAGATCCCACCTTTCAAACCGAAACACAGCCATGTAAACACAACTGCTTTACAGTTGAAACACGAATGGGACATCACACATCACACTTTTGGTTGAGTAATTACTTATTATAAAAAAAAAAACAACAATGCATGAAATAAATAAATAAATAGATTATGATAAAGTGTATTAAGTTATACTCTATTTATTGCGTAATATATTTTTCTCTTCCATTCATCACTTTTCGCAGCCATCTTAGCATTTATTTCCTTACTGATCATGCCATGTCACTCAGTCATCCATCTCTTTTTACATCTTCCTCTACTCTTACGACCATACTTTATAGAGGGGGAAAGAATTGTTAATAACGCGGACTATCAGTCCTGTTGCTAGCAATATATCCTATCAGGTCGACCTCCACGTGGCACCCCTGGAAATCATCGTGCTGAATTCCAAGTGTATTCGTCACGATGGACTAACTGACCTGCCTTTTCATTCTCACCTATCATTTTTCACTGGTGCCTTGCCAGTGTATACTGTTAACGTGGGCGGTGTTACCATTTCATTATCATCCATAAAAAAAACACCCTACTTCATACTTCTTTTACCACATTTTCACCCCTGCGTATCACATGCCCATACAAATGGTTACAACCCAATTTCTCCACTACTGGCATTACTTTTAGAATTATTTCTAAATTAAATGACCAATTTTGATAAAAGACATTCCTACTAAGTCGTTTTACTAAACTACTAAATATAAAAAAAAACTCCTGCGCCACCTACCCACTTCTATCTGTTCTCCTTTAACCAAAAATACAGACATGTAAGAGATTGCCCTAGCGATTAGACCGCATTTTGTACTTTTATGTATACATTTCATTCTGTATTTATGTTACTGTATTTCACTTGAAATATTCAATTGTCATTGTATATTTTTGTTTATGGTGCAATAAAGAGTTAAATAAATAATAAATAAATAAAAAAAATTATAACAGTTAATGTTAAACTTTCGCGTTGATTACACATATTTTAAATACACATTTGGGACTTAACGCGAAGCAAAAGCTTTTATAGGTAAATAGTACCTACATACCTGCTTCTTTATTGCCGATACTTAAAAACATGCGATAAGTAGTTTAAACGCAGTGTGGATACCGTGAGTGCGGTGTGTTGGGTGGCTTTACATAATAATGGTAACAGTGTGACGGTACCCGAAGAGACTGCGCCAGCTGCAAGATGAAAACGCCGCTCACTTCAGTCCAGTCGTGACCGCGACGTGGTGCAATCCACGTCGAAACGTCGGCAATAAAGAAGCAGGCATGTACGAGTAGGTATTTATTTACCTGTAAAAGCTTTTACATCGCGTTAAGTCCCGGTTGTGTATTTAAAATTATAACAGTTGTCATATTTTGTGAAACGCCTCAAATACACTACACAATCTGTACCTATGGAAGGACATTGCACGTTATCGTGTGTAATTTAGACTGGTAATGGTAATAGCAACCCCATTACCAAACGGGGTAAGGGTTAACGAGTCGTGAATAACGCAACTATCCGAGTTTTACAAGGCCAAGTTGTCGCTGTCAGACGAGCGACTAAAATTCGCGCCAAAATAACATTGAATTCGAATGACGTTTGAATATATTATTTGAAATGGATACCCTGCACTCGGAAATTATGAAATATTAAATGCAACCCTATTAAATGTTAATCCGGGATTATTTAAATGCAGGTTCGAATCCCGTCGAATACGGCCTCTGACGGCGGTTTATTTATTTATTATTTTGATATTATCAAATGAAAGCTTATACATTTCATCATATCAATAATTATAACTCAAATACAGTAGAAAATACATCAAAAATCGTTTGATTTATTGAAATGATTTGCAAGTTAATATTATATACATTCTGTGGTATCACAATGTAATCAGCTCGACTTATTCAGAGATGACATTAATTAATTAAATATTTTCTGAACTAGGTGTTATGGAAGTCCATGCCACTGGTTATTTAATTAATTATTAATATTATTAATAATTATATTTATTAAGTATTTGATTTAGAAAAGGTATAAAACAAAGTTACACTTTTTAGGCAATTAGGTTTTAATTTTCAACTTTCATTTCAAGCTAGCAACACTTGAGTAAAATTGTAGCTACGATTTTGAATTTAGGTTCCGATATTAATTAATGTAAATACCAAATAGTCCGAACGGGATGGTCGAAAGACAGGAGGATTCATAATATTATAATTAGAATAATATAATCGGTTAAATTCTAATTAAGTCTTATACAGTTTGACGATATTTGCATAGTAAAAAGTCGCTAGTTGCAAGACACTCGGGCGACAAAAAGTCGGATGTCTATTTCGATTAAATTTAAACATAATATTTAATGCCTACGTTAACGATATAAGACATAAATGAAAATAAAACGTGCCTGATAAAATTAGATACAGTAATCAGAATGCGGTGCCGCACTAGTGAATTAGGCAGTTTCACTAGTTTATAACCATTTCGTTATAGTTTTAAACTAAAAATTTAATTAATAATAACTATAAATCAATACTTATTGCTCAATGTTATTTATTTATTTTATTTTATTCTTTATTGTACACACCAGTTATAAGAATATGACAGAGGTAATTAAATGTACAAAGGCGAGCTTCACTCTGATAGAGTTTTCTTCCAGCAACACCCAAAGTGGAAAGGAGCATCAATGTCAGCGAATAGAGCGGTGTACTATATTGTGACAATTTTTAAACAGACAAAAATTTATTTAATCGTACAAATACTTCGTATATTTAATGAGTTCGGTATAGTTAATGAGTTAATAAATAATTTTAAATATCATTTTATTGGACTATATGGAACAATCTCGAATTTTACCTATCGAGCATTGTTTACACAAATGTGCATAAGTCAATCCGGCATTCTCAAAGTTAAAATGTGTACTTACGTTATATTCGACAAAAAATCTCGCATCTACGTGATATTACAATACGTATCGATAATGAAAAAAAAATGTACTAAAATGCACGATCCACGTGTATTTTATACAAATATTCAATAGCATTTTAAATAGTCACATTTTCGTAAGGAAATATAATTTACTTGAAATATAATTATATAACAAGTCATCTGCAATTAAATCCTCTCATATAATCATACAGAGAGAGAGAGATCTTTGCCCAATGGTGGGACGTTATTAGCTGGTTCTAGTGATAAAATTTGCATTCATAATAATACACTCCCAACTCACACTCCACAAGTTAACAGTACCAAAAGAGTTGGAAACTAACATGAAATTTTCATACTTTGAAAACATCTTTCGTGAGGGTTTCTAAACAAACTTTCAATATAAAAAAAAGTTAGCCAAATTTTGGCGGCACCGTTTATTAATAATAAATTAATTAAAATTAATAAAATTCTATTAATATTAATCTTACGAAGTATTCGTATTTTTAATTTAAAGAGATGAGTAAATGTCGATTAAGACCTGCAGTATTTTTATGGCATAAAAGACAAAAAAATATATTATAAATATAAAATTATATATAAGTATAAAATTATATATAAATATAAATATTTATAATTTAATATTTATACTATCTTTTACATTAAATAGGTGATTAAATATACAATAGGAGATTAAGAGGAATCAATGACTAGTGTATTCTTTTTTTCTTAATCTAATAAAAAATTATAAGATTAGGTAATTATTGTAAAACTGTATGTAAATGACCGAAACATACTCATCTCTTCAACAGAAGGTAAACTTAACTTTCCTTTATATAAATATAAAATTCTCACTCACAATCTTTCAGGATATGACACAAGTATTTTAAGGATGATATGTTTCACTGTATATTCACAATGCTAGAGTAAAACATATTGATATTTAAATACGCTACGCCGTGTACAAGTCAGCAATAACTCTTTGGTAACGTTCAAATAAAGTTTTGTACTATACACGATATTTGTGATATATGTATACACAACACAGTACCTCGAATGGCGAAAATTGGAGACAAAATAATTTTTAAAATATAATTTTATTTGTTTACAATTATACATAAAGCTTGAATTATACAGATAGAGTACTGACTTTTAAAAACGAGTAAATTTTTTGTCAAATTAGTTGACTTGTTTTTTTTATCAGTGTTCTATATACTTACGCACACAATTTATCTTGACGTGTTTATATTTAATTAATTAATAAATAAATAAAATAATTTTTTCGCATTAAAAAGACGCAAGAATTATAAGACCAAAATAAACATAGAAGTTATAAAGGAATCACTAATAACTGTTTATCACGCAAAATTGTATGAAAAAGTTGATGCCGAATCGAGAATTCGAAACATTTGTATGGAGACACTCTATCTATATAATAAAAGAATATTAATAATAAAATTAATTCTGTGTACATTTCAATATTAAATACGTATGTACGTTTCTCTTATAATATTTTAACAAATATTCGATGTAGGTACAGAATTAATTACTGTGTTGTATGTACTGTATTGCTATTCACGAAATTGTAATACATTTATAATTGATTTAGTTAGTTAAATAAAGCAATAATAAGGTAGTGGATTTATTTATAAAATCAAACTATGAGATCCATTTGAAATAGCACGACGATAGCTAAGAAGGGTTGCCGCCAACAGTGTACTTGTTTTGCACCTGGAACAAAATGTGTCGTACAATAATTTGCACATATAGAAATAAATTAGAAACTAAATTAATTTACTCGCAAATCAGAATTATTAATATTTACACAATATGTATAATTCGAGACAACTTTACATGTTTATTATTTCACGTATAATAGCTTTGTAACTGTATATAAATGTACCTAATCTAGCCGTGTGGTCTTGGCATAGATAGGCCATGCCTTGCATGCATTTCCCGTGGGTGTCGTAAGAGGCGACTAAGGAAGCCCAAAGGAAGGGTAGCAGCGTCCCTCTTTAAACATCACCGTAAGCTAAACTGCGGTTATGAACCCATCTGCCAGGCGTGGCAACTACTAGCAAAATTCCCTAAGGGGGAGACCTATGTTCAGCAGTGGACGGTTAATGGCTGAGATGATGATGATGATGAACATATTTACACCAACTGACTATGCACTGGAATGTCATTTGCGTAAACCAGCAACTCTGTTATTGTAGCGTGATGGTCATCAATATATTTTATGACGTAATAAGATTTTTTTAATGGATGTACATATAAAAGGTAAGTGAGGATGGAAGCAGTAGGCCTACCATGAAGTGATTTTTGAAATTTCGAGGACGTACGAAACAGAAATTTGATGTTAAAATTACATAATACATGCCGTTTAAAATTATTAAAAATGTTAAAATATCGTTCCTCTGGACTACTAGGATAGAATTTATGATAAACTAAATGTTAAACTCCATTTACGGGATCAATTTCGGTACGAATAAAAACATGAAATTGAGCCCGAAAATTCGGAACTTCATTTCATGGTAGACCACCAGGTCACTTGGCTCATCATGATAAATTCAATAGTAACTAATCAGAGATCAACAAGCGGGTCTACTCTTGACTCTAATGCCAATATCAATCCAATTTATTGCCAATGACAATTTTATATTGCATCCATGTAACAGCTGTTAGGAATTAAGATATAATTGGGATCGGTTGACAATAGTTTACATTGACAAATTATACTAAAATGCATCTATTGGAACAATATGCCGTTATGTCGCTAGTACTGCAATTCGAGAGTGTAAAACTAGAATTTTTTGTTAAGAATAACACACCTGATTAGGTATATTGCTGGTAATAGAGCTTTTAGACCATTTTACTAACTATCCCTTCCCCCCCCCCCACCGCTATCATCAAAGAAATATGAATTGAAAAAAACTAAATATTTTAACCCTCCCATATTACTTTTTTTATACAACTTAGAATGGCAAACAAGCTTACGGCCCACCTGATGGAAAGTGGTAACCGTCGCCTATAAACATGAGCAGTATCATGGACATAACAGAGTATACTGTTTCGCCCATGATCCCCCCATACGTTGCTATTCCTGAGGACTTAGGTGTTATTCCTCTGTACCCAGTAAATTTACGCCATATCCCACCCTTCAAACCGAAACACAGCCATGCAAACACAACCGCTTCACGGTTGAAACACGAATGGGACAGAGGTACCCAAGCAATCGACTTTTGTACAAAGTCTCCTTCTGGTAAGTAAAGTGTTAAGTTTGTAAAATTAGTTAGGAGACTTAAATTTTATTGAAAATAAAATTTTTTGATTCACAAAATTTCTGTTTAAACATGTTCCATACCATCGACGGTTTTTTAGTTTTTAGTTTAGTGTTTTTTTTTTATATTACTACTAGTTATATTACTAGTAGCAAATAAACATATGGCCCGTCTGATGGTAAACGGGTTTACTGTACCCTGTAACGTCAGGTATATTACACGCGCGTTACCGTCTTTTAAAAAAACCTTAAGAACTTTCTTACGAACCCCATGCTGTAGTCTCTGGGGAAAACCTCGACAGGAACGTTATTTCACAACCGGAGCGTTTGCGGAAGTAAACACTTCTGAAACCGTACTGTGCGTGACTTTTTTATTGCTAACGGTTTGGATATCACACTGAACGACATGATTATGTTTAGCGTAATAGTAGACAATATGAGTCAATGAGGACATTCCGTGCCGTTTAAGATGTCAACTTAATTTAAGATAACATCCTAAAGTGTGTTCAATTATCATAAATAATAACGTAATAGGGGGGACAAGATAGGTTTTTGTATTGAATTGTATCGCTGAGCCAGTGGGCTGGAGCGCGGCACGTTATCATTGCCGCGCCACTGCTTCCTCGATTCGAATACAATTTCTTCGAATCTGTCGCTATTTTTATACCGATAGTAAGACCCGATAAGCTTCCATGCTCGCGGCCATTGTAAATAGTACTTATATTGTATATTTTATCATCCTGTTTGTCTCAGTGTAATTTCGGAAGCAAATAAGCCACGGCGACTTGTTAGGCAGTTTGAATTTGGAATTTCTGCTCGCAAACGTATTTTTTTTACAACACAGGGGCAAATGAGCATGCAGCTCATCTGATAGTAAGTGCTAAGGGCTAATTGTCAGCCATGATCACTCACAACACCAACAGCATTGCAGGTGTGCTACCTGTCTTTTAAAAAGGAATATGCTCTTTTCTTGAAGGTTAGGATGTCGTATTTGTTCGGAAATACTGCTGCTGGAAGTTGATTCCAAAGAGTGGTTGTGCGTGGAAGAAAGTGCCTTGAAAAACGCACGGTGGAAGACCGCCACGTGTCCAGATGGTTGGGTTGAAGCTTCAGTTTACGGCGGCATGTCTCGTGTCCCCTAATATTTATTCAAGCAATGGTCTATCTGATATGATATTATTGGACTGTTCAAACACTTTTTCCTTGGAGTAAGAATTGATTGTATGCGGTGTGGACTGAATATTTATAAGGGTTAAAGTGTATGTGAACTCGTTGAATGTTTAATGTACACTTGGAGATGGGGACCGGGGTGGGGGGCCGACCGCACCGTCTGCGGTGCTTGGTGACATGAGTCCTAATCGTTTTGAAATTCACTGTTAATCCTTTGTGAATTGTAGATAGTAAAACTTGGTGCAGGTAACTGTGTTTGGTGTTTTGTGCGAGTTGTCTTGTATGTATGTATGTATGTATATTGCTGTATTATTTATGAAAATGTAATAATATATTTATAGAGGTATGAATATGTAGGCAGACAATATCAGATTAAGGGGGGAAAGGGATTGTTAGTAATGGAGACTGAGAATCCTATTACTAGCAACCAGGTCGACCTCCACGCGGTCCCCCCTGGAAACTATCATGGTTAATTCCTGATGAATTTATCATGATGGGTTAACTGGCCTGTTTTCATTCTCATCTATTACCCTTCACTGGTGCTCCGCAAGCGTATTCCGTTAGCGCAGGCGGGATTACCATATCATTTACACCCATAAAAAAAAATCAGATTAAGAGATACTTTTCTTACATTGTGGTATAATTTTTTTTTAGTAATTTTTCCTTGGAACTGCATGATTAGAATACATTTTACTGACTGGTATAAAAAGTCTATATCTTTCTCCATCCCATATTTCAAATTTCACAGTGATTGGTTAAGCTGTCAAGACGCTATAAGGTAAAACACAAACAAGCAAACTCACGTTTATATTTATTGTATTAGTAAGGATTAAATGACAAGTACATAGTACTTTTTTAATACAACGAGACAATTTGTATGCAACGAGGGAAATTCATATACTATTCATCCGTACCTTTTACTAACTCAGTTTACTTCTTGCTTTTATATAAATTGAATAAAATTGGATTAAAACTGGATAGCCTGTAGGTTTTATAATAAATATTACAGAAACAAAGAAAGCATTGAAATTACCAATTCACTTTAAAAAAAAATCTGTTTCGTATTTCGTACCATCTATTCTAAATTCTTATCGCACCCTAAACGTTTAGATATAGTTTTTGACTAACAAATTTACATGAGAACGTCTGTAACTATCAGCTGATGATATTAGTAAATTTAAACAGAAATACTCGTATAAAGCAACAGTTTTATGTTTTCAAGAATATTTTTATTTTTCGACAATTTTTCAATTAAAAAAAAGTGTTTATAAAATTCAATGACGTAAACAAAATTAATATATATAATAATTAATAGATATAAATAAATTTATATATTTTACTTCTCAGGATTAACTTAAGGAAGACTGTACAAAAGTCGTTTGCTTGGATACCTCTGTCCCATTCGTGTTTCTATCGTGAAGCAGTTGTGTTTGCATGTCTGTGTTTCGGTTTGAAGGGTGGGATATGACAGTGAATTTACAGGGTACAGAGGAATAACACCTGAGTACTCAGAAATGGCATCGCATGGGGTATCATGGGCGAAACATCTGTTATGTCCATGGTACTGCTTATCTGTCTATAGGCGACAGTTACCAATTTCCATCAGGTGGGTCGTCAGTTTGTTTGCCATTCTAAGTTGAAGTTGCATAAAAAAAAGAACGCATCATCGTCATAACAGGCGTTAACTGTCCACTGTTTTAGTAGCTATGTGAACATAAGGCTCTCCTTAGGAGTTTTGCCATTAATTGTCAATAATTAGCAAGCGGGATGAAAACCGCAGTAAGGCTTTGGTGATTTTTAAAAAAGGGACTCTGTTGCTCATTTCACTTCTTACGATAATCACTGGAGAGGAAGTAGAATGTTGAGTTATCGTGTTTTTATTATTAGATAGATTCATATTTAGTTATACTCAACTTACGAGGATTTCGATAAACGCATCACAAATATAAGACGTTACATTCAAATACCAGTTTGTGCATTGCGGTATGCGATGCCGCACATCTTTCCATTAAGATAAAAGCAAAAATGTCAAGACGTAAGACAATTGCCACAAGCAGGCATCAGTCGTCACATATTCCGACCCATTTCGCCGCGGCATCCACCAACACATTTATTTTTTAGCACAAGTAAGAGAGACGTTTTTAATAATGCACTATATTGTTACAAAGAACACAAAGCCAGTTCCCGGCGCTGCGGAGTAGCTTTGTAGCTTTTTATCAGGCTTTACGTATCGGGTACTTATTAATATGTAATTAGGTTAGACTTTGAATGGGGTTTTTTTTTAAAGAAATATCGAATAAAAAATTTATACTCATACAATGTATTGAAGTGATACATAGCTCAAAAATTGATAACCGATGGGGAACAAAAGTTCTTTAGTGGCGACTTTGTACGGGCAAAGGCAGTGTCGGACGACACCCTGCTAGATGGAATAACCACCTCAAATGCATTGCAGGGACTCAGTGGATGCAGGTGGCTCATGACTGTTCCTTATGGTATTCTATGGGGGAAGCCTACGTCCAGCAGTGGACAGATAATGGTTGAAATGATGATGATAATGATTGTCATGTACTGAAATAGATAAGCAGCAGGTAAATCATATCACTGTGATTATAATTCCTAATAAGTATAATTAATTAGAATAATTATAATAACAAATAGGCTGATGGTTCGTTTGATAGAAGTTCGTCTGATAAAGTGATAATCTTTACCTACAGATACGGGTATAGGCAATACAATGGACATAGCACATGTTAAGCTTCACTACAGAAACACGAATGGGACAGAGGTACCCAAGCAGACGACTTAGGTACAAAGTCTCCATCTAGCAAGTCTTTCTTTACATTTAATTAAATAGAAAATCGAAAACAATCATGTCTTTTGGCTGACATTTAAAAATTTTATTAAATCAAATTTAGAGACCATTTCACAGAACGAATTATTCTGCTGTGTAACTAATAATTGAAGTCGAATATTAAGTACAATATATCTCCACTGAGCAGTTGAATAAATTTCTTAAAATCAACATTTAGAAAATTGAAATGGCCATCCGACACTCAAAAGCGGAGTAAACTGCAAAGTGGATTCAAGAATGCATGCGGTTTCCAGACTCGAATGTAATAGTATGTACGTTTCGCTGTCTATACGATTCGTTGAGAATGGAAACTTTGTATCTTTATTAAATAGTTGTAATGTAAATTGGACTCTATTTTCCGTGGTTAGCCTCTCATTTTGGCCATTGTGCGTATATTAAATAGTTAATAAACGAATATGAAATCGTGACGCGATTATCACCTTTAATAACATTTCATTATAGGGGGAGGGGATTGTTAATTAGTAGTTATTTATCAAGTTGATTTTGACGTGGCTCCCCCTGAAAACCATCATGACTAATTCATAGGTGAATTCGTCACGATGGGCTAATTGATCTGCCTTTTCATTCTCACCTATCATCTATCGCTGGCGCCCCGCCAGTGTATACCGATAGCACGAGTGGGGTTACCATTCCATCATCGTCCATTAAAAAAAAAAAAACATTCCATTTTATAATTACAAATAATTTAAAATATGCATTTTTATAATTCTACGATCTATTTGAAATAAAATTTCATCTGAGAATAACGGTCGAGAAACTCAACTTTTGTTTATATTAAAAAAAAATTGTATCAATAACACCTATTAGTTGTATGTATTTTTTTTTGATGGGTGAAAATGGTATGGTAACCCCGCCTGCGCTAACGGGATACGCTGGCGGAGCACCAGTGAAGGGTGATAGATGAGAATGAAAACAGGCCAGTTAGGCCATCATGATGAATTCATCAGGAATTAACCATGATAACTATCATGGTTAATTTAGGGGGAACCGTGAGGAGGTTGACCTGGTTGAGTATATTTCTAGCAATGGGATTCTTAGTCTCCATTACTAACAATCCCTTTCCCCCCAGTTATATGTATTAACTATTATTATATTACCCACTAACTGCTGCTGAACATAGACGTCCTATTTAGGGGATTTTGCCAGTAGTTGTCACGTTTGGCAAGCGGATTAGAAACCACAGTAAAGCTTTGGTGATGTTTTAAGGACACCTATTTCTCGACCATTATATTCCCTTAGTCGCTTTTTACGACACCTACGGAATAGAAAAAGGTGGTCCCATTCTATGCCCGGACCACACGGTATACTTTCATCGACCACTAAGCACGAGAGTTATTTAAATTATAATTTAACATAGTAAAATTGTAACTAAATGATGTCTAGTTACCAGAGGGAGACTTTGTACAAAAGTCGATTGCTTGGGTACCTCTGTCCCATTCGTGTTTCAACCGTGAAGCAGTTGTGTTTGCATGGCTGTGTTTCGGTTTGAAGGGTGTGATATGGCGTGAATTTACTGGGTACAGAGGGATAACAGCTGAGTCCTCAGGAATGGCAACGCATGGGGGGTATAATGGGCGAACAGTATACTCTGTTATGTCCATGATACTGCTCATGTCTATAGGCGACGGTTACCACTTTCCATCAGGTGGGCCGTCAGCTTGTCTGTCATTCCAATTTGTATAAAAGTTAATAATAGTTAAATGTAGTTCTATAGACATATGTGTATTCTATAGGTTCAAGTATATGCGAGACTTGTTAGTAAGTCGATAAAGTTATTAGTGTATGCACAAGAACTAAAAAAAGATAAAAAAATACACAAAAATAGAGACAACGTGGCAACAATGGGCGGCCTTATCGTTAAACAGCGATCTCTTTCTAGGCAACCTTAGGATGAACAAATGTAATGAATATTAAATAAAGGCCAGCGCAGACGAGCGACTTTTGTACGATACGGCAGATAAAATTGCCCGCTGTACTGTCGAGAACTTAATATATGTAATAGGTATATATTTCTAAGAGATAAGAAAATACTCTGAAAATTATTTATTTCTTATCTATTTAGGTTTTATGAGTCGTATCTATCTATTCGTATTTGTTACAATTATACTATAGACTGTGCTCAGGGGAATTGTTCAATATGATGCCCACAGCTATTTTCTACCGTCGTATAACTCGCAATCGACAGGGAGTTATTCCCCATACCTTAGAGATTAGATGGTCACGTACAGCGCTGTTTCAGAGATGTTTCCTCCCACGAACGCTTAGGTTATGGAATAAGCTCCTTGTCGAAGTTTGTCCAAGAGACTACAGCATGAGGTTCCTCAAGAGGTTTCTTCAGGATCGGCAACTCGAATTTTACAGTGGTATATTTTAACTTATTTTATTATAATATATTGCATGTTTTTTTTTTTATTTAAACATAAATATAACAATTGTTGATGATTCTAAATAAATAAATAAAAATTACAAGATTTCATGATTAAAATAAAAAAAAAAAATTAAAAGAAAATTTTTTTTTTTTTTTTTTTTTTTTTTTTTTTTTTTTTTTTTTTATAAAACTTAGAATGGCAAACAAGCTGACGGCCCACCTGATGGAAAGTGGTAACCGTCGCCTATAGACATGAGCAGTACCATGGACATAACAGAGTATACTGTTTCGCCCATGATACCCCCCATGCGTTGCCATTCCTGAGGACTCAGGTGTTATTCCTCTGTACCCAGTAAATTCACGCCCAGTAAATTATAATAAAAAAAGCGATGAATGAACAAATTGAGAGGTTGTTTACCAAATTGCCATTGAGTCTAATAACAATTACATTCTAGATAGCACACACAATGTTTAACTGCCAACTCAATTTGTTTTACCTGAGACGTGGTGCGGGTGCGGCTGGCGGTACACGTGGTGTGCGGCGTCGCGATCGGGCGCTCGGTCGAGCTGCGCTCGGACCACGCTCGGCCGCTCAGTGCCAGCACTGACCTCTGGCCGCTGCACTGCGCGACTAACGTTCGCCCGGCGCGCGCCTGCAACACGCCTCATCTTAGCTAATGTTTTAGTCTTCGATTATATAGATAGAGTGTCTCCATACAAATGATTCGAGAAAAGCGGCTCAACTTTGTCATACAATTTTGCGTGGTAAATAGTTATGTGATTGCTTTATAACTTTTATATTTATTTTGTCTTATAATTTCTCCATCTTTTTAACGCGTAAATATTAATTTTACTTATTAAATAATACGTCAATATACATTGTATGTGTTATGTGTAAGTATATAAAACATTGATAAAATAATGAGTCAGCTAATTGTTAAATTAGCTGACTCGTTATCACAAAAAGTTGATCCGTTTTTGAGAGTCGATGCTCTATCTATATAATCTAAGGTTTTAATTAATGAACATGGAATGGTAATTTTACTTTGATTATTGATATACGCTAGTGGAGTACCAACGAGGGATGATAGGTGAGAATGAAGTCAGGTTAATTAGCCCACCGTGACGTATTCCAAAAAATTTACCGACGGTTTCCAGAGGGTTTTTTCATACGACTTAGAATGGCAAACGAGCTGACGGCCCACCTGATGGAAAGTGGTAACCGTCGCCTATAGACATGAGCAGTACCATGGACATAACAGAGTATACTGTTTCGCCCATGATACCCCCCATGCGTTGCCATTCCTGAAGACTCAGGTGTTATTCCTCATGTACCCTGTAAATTCACGCCAAGTACCGCGTACAGAATAATATAGATTAATGTAATGAAATTTGTATCAGCCCTTAACTGTCTACTGCTGAACATAGCCTCATTCATAAGCGGTTTGCGATTAGTTGCCATTATTGGCGGCAGGCTTGGCAACGGGAGTTTGGCTTTTAGTGATATTTCAAGAGCGACGTTTCTGCTCATCCCTCGATCACAAGCTCCCTTAGTCGGTTCTTACGACACCCACGGGAAAAGAAGAGGTGGCTTCTTCTATGCCTGCGTCTAGACGGCGACGAAATTTAGGGTTGTACAAATAAATAAAGTACTTCATGTAAAAAATGATTAATTTCGTATATTTCGTTGTTTCAATTTAATATATTTGTCTCAAATTTGAACAGATTTTTAACTGTTTTTTTTTTGTAGCTTAAAATTCTATATATATATAATATGTATTTTACAAAAAAAAACCGACTTCAATTGTGGCCAAATCAGTTATTTTAGTTTAAAACTAATTACTGAATAGATTTTGTTAAAATTTCTTTGCGACCAATCTGAAAGTGTATCTTTTCAGATAAAAAAGATTTTTTCAAAGTCGGTTTATAACTGACGGAGTTGTAAGGTAACAAACATAGAAAATACCGTAATACCGAATTAAGAATCTCCTCTTTTCTTGAAGTCAGTTAAAAATTGTTTAAAAAGAGCAGTTCTTCGACTCAAATGTATTTATTGCACGGTTACGTGATTGCGTCAACAATTTCGAAGTGGTTTTGATGAACAATTGTTTATATAACTTATATTAATAATTACGGAGTGCTTAATTCATATTAATACAATAAATTAAGCAGTAAATATACAATATTAATTCTGTCACGATTAAAGAAGACTTTAACGGCCTTCTTTGTAACTCTAGAAGTACACTAAAAGTACTCGCATGTTAGACATAGAATAAAATTAAGCAAAATTGTACTTACTTAGTTTGAATAACAAATTAATACTAAAAGCATTGCTATGTACCTAATTTTTTTCAATAAAAAAATATGTAAAAATATTTTTTCAACGCTCGATATAAATGTTAAAAGTACACCTGAATGGTAACAAGGACGGCTGAGTACGACGATACTTGGTATTATTGGACTGGTAAGTGTTTGCGAAACGTCTCAACATCTTTGTAGAACAATAAAATATCATAAACTAGCGACCCGCCCCGGCTTCACACGGGTGCAATGCTGATACTAAATAGCGTCGCTGGCCTCCATTACATTACGACATCACATTAGGAACCTCTAAAATTATCAGTGTTTCTCTACTATTGTATATGCATGTATTATACATATAAACCTTCCTCTTGAATCACTCTATCTATTAAAAAAAAACCGCATCAAAATCCGTTGCGTAGTTTTAAAGATGTAAACATATATAGGTACAGGTGATAGTAAAGTATTTTGTTCCTTTATTCTGTCTATATAACCCTTATTAATAACATGAGGTCATCAAAAAATACATGGACCCAAGATTTAATTGAGTGGTATCCGCGTGATGGAAAAAGAAACTGAGGTAGGCCAATAAGAAGATGGGAGGATGATTTGCCCAAAGGCTGGAGACAAGCTGCAAGGAATCGTTACCAATGGAGAAATATGGAGGAGGCCTATCTTCTAGAACAACCTAAAAAAATAAGATGTTACCGATGTCAACATTAATTATTTATACATATTTACAATTTAAAAAAGAATCTGTAATTCAGGAATAAAGGCTATTTTTATTTTATTTATTTATTTTAATAACATGAGTCAATTTGGAAAACCAGTGGAAATTCTGTTCGGAAAATTTCAAGTACATTGCGCGCCGTCAAAACTATGAATCGTTAGTTATATGGCCGTGGTGCTTTTTACGGTGGGAAAATAATCTGCCATCTGATTTAGACCATTCGTCTGAATCAGTTATTTTTGTTTCAGCCAACCTGTCCCTTCCATCCTGTAGGTAAATATGAAATAACTTATAATATTTTTATGTTTATATTATTATTATCTTAAAAGTTGCCTTTTTTTGCAAAATCTTGGGTTCCTCTAAATGATAATGGAATGATAACCCTGCCTGCGCTAACGGTATACGCTGGCGGAGCGCCAGTGAGGGATGAGCGGTAAAGATGTAAAAGCAGGTCAGTTAGCCTATCGTGATAAATGCACCTGGAATTCAGCATGATGGTTTCCAGGGGGGATAACGCGGAGGTCGACCTGACAGGTTATATTGCTAGCAATGGGACTGATAGTCCGTATTATTAACACTCACTCCCCCCCCCCCCCCTTAAGGGGGAGGCTATATTCAGCAGTATACAATTAATGGCTGATAAATGCAATATGGAATGTATTTAAAAAAAACTTACAATGCCAGGACGAGTCGAAAGTACATACATACATACATATCTGTCACGTCTGTCTCCCATTAGGGTAGTCAGAAACAATGGAACGCCAAATGCTTCGATTCAAACAAACCTCTTTCGCTTCTTCTACATTCATCAATCTTTTCATACACGCTCGCCGGTTACGGGCACTTTTAATTTGGCCCTTCTTCAGCACGTCGCCTATTTGGTCAACATACGTCCGTCTAGGGCGGCCCCTACCGACATCTCCATTCATTCTTGGTCGATATATGTATATCATATATGCAGGCGAAATACTGGTATCACTCACTGATCACAAAATAACCGGAACCGTAGCTACAAACTTGTACAGAGGTTTCCCCGTATAATGTAGTTATTCACAGGGAAAAGGTTTTCGAGGATTCCCACGGGAGCCACAGAGAGAACCCCGTTCGCTCATACACAAATATAAGGGTCAATATGTTGCAACTTTCAAATTTCAAGGTATTTCGCCTCTTTCTTGGAAAATCAGCTGTAAAGGTGAGTGTAGTACGTTTTCTCCAAGTTCGAGGTAGGGTGAGTTATGGTCGTGATATTACTAAATATGTTCTTGTATCAGCCGTGAACTGTCCACTGCTGAGCATAGCTGCCCCCATAAGGGTTTTGCCATTAGTTGCCACGTTTGGCAAGCGGGTTGGCAAACGTAGTTTGGCTTTTAGTGATGTTTTAGACGTTCTGCTCATCTCTACACTAAAAGCTTAATATCGTGTTTCAACCGTGAAGAATTTACTGGGTATAGAGGAATAACACCTGAGTCTTCAGGTATGGCAACGCATGGGGGGTATCATGGGCGAAACAGTATACTCTGTTATGTTCATAGTACTGCTCATGTCTGTAGGCGACGGTTACCACTTTCCATCAGGTGGGCCGTCAGCTTGTTTGCCATTCTAAGTTGTATAAAAAAATATTTGGTTCAAAGGTAGGTTATATTTTAATTTAGTACACAGGACGTTTTAATTACAGAATCAAGCTGGTGGAGCCATGGGATATAGCTAGTACTATGTACATGCCAAATTTCATGACGGTTTGATGAATTTTCATGGTGCCAAGAATAAACAAAAATAATATTAGAACCCATTTTTACATAATTGTATTGATTTTTAAAAATTCGTTTGAAGATCTAGTTTCGAAGCCAGTCACGTGTATAAATAAAATAAAAGTTTTAACCAAAACAATGGATCAAAGTACAAGTATTTCGAATAATATTATCTAGACGAACAAAAAAAAAAAAAAAACTAGTAAAAACTGAATTACGCGCTGTTCTAAGAAATACTGTCTTCAAATTTTAAATAATATTCATCATTGTCCAAGAATTAATACGAATTAACATAAAAAAAGTTTGAATTAATTAATCTTATTTCTCAGTAATTTGAGGTAATTTCAAACTTATTTCTGGCAACACCTTTGCTTAATGCAAAAGTGTTGCCGGAAATAAATGCAAAATTGGATTTTACGAACGATAAGCATGATTTTGGTGCAAATGTGCGTTTGTTAATATTGTTTGTGCAAATGAATAGAAGAGGCAAAATGCTCGGCCATCTTATGCGACATGAGGAGTTTTTAAAGAGCATAGTAGAAGGAAAAATAGAGGGCAAAAGAGAAAGAGGAAGACCGAGGAATAACTACATTGGACAGATAAAAGAAACACTAGGTATCATGTCGTAAGAGGAGGTCAAGGATATCGCATGGGATAGAACTGGCTGGAGGAAGATGCATGAATTAGTTGCACCGACAAGAGGAAACTTTTAAATGAAAAGAAGTGCGTTTGTTATTTGGTTGAATATGTTTTTGCGGATTAATTATTATTATACGAAAATTTATTATACCCGCAGCTTTTTACTGATCTGAGTATATGATTAACGAACGAACATTTGAAAGTAAAAAGATAAAGTGCAAACCACGCCTGGTGTTTGCGAGGTGTTTTTGGCGGTGCTTACTTATTTGCGAGATGCCATGCGTTGCCATTCCTCAGGTGTTATCCCTCTGTACCCTGTAAATTCACTGCCGTATCCCACCTTTCAGATTGAAACACAGTCATGCCAATACTGCTGCATGGTAGAAACACGAATGGGACAGAGGTGTTCAAGCAAACGACTTTTGTACAAATTCTCCCTCTGAGCATATCATTATACAACGAACATTTAAAAGGTTGCAAGCGCAAACTTCTTAGGAGTTACACACAACTGGAAGTTCGTCTCTAGAAGTTTTATTCGCAAACGTGAATTCTAAACTCGTTGCTTTTGTTGTTCACATACAAATGATCACAAAGAAGTAGTCGCAAATAGTTACTATAGACGGTATAATTTCCTTTTGAATTCACGTAGAAACTTGTCGAAGAAAATATTTATAAGCGACTTCGTATGAACGAGGCTCTCAAAAGAGATTGTTAGTAGTGAATCCCTAGTTTGCTAGCAATAAATTTTGTTATGTCGATCTCTTCACACTGGAAACCAGCGTGCTTAATTACAGATGAAATCATTATGATGGGTTAACTGACCTGCCTTTTCATCCTCACCTATCATCCCTAACTGATACTCTGCCAGAGTATTAAAGTGTTAGTAAAGTATTCGAGGCTATGTTATACAGATTTTTAATTATTTTCGCATTCAAAAAAGTTTAATTAATTTTCAACCAACTTTAGAAAGAACGAGGTAAACATCTTAGTCCGCAGGAATGGCAACGAATAAGGGGGTAGGGGGTATTATAGGCGACACAGTGTACTCCGTTATGCTCATGGTACTGTTCGGATCTATAGGTGACGGTTACCACTTTCCATCAGGTGGGCCGTCAGCCGCCATAAAAAAATAAGGGAATAATGTGGTTTCATTCGATTAGTCTATATCAAATTTTAGAAATTAATTTAAATCATGATTTCATTATTACAAGCAGCGAGACCTCTGCCTACAGAGTTCTAATTAAGCATAATTTCGAATTAATCATAAAAATAAGGAATACGAAATTATTTATGCTGATTAGGAGATTGTTACAATAATCGAAGTTGGTAAAATTAAATTAAAATAATTTAAAGTTTTTCTTGTATTAATTAACTTCTATGTACTCTATATTTTTCTTTTGTGATGAATAAATGAAAAAAAAAAATCTATCTCATGCATTATTTATATGTAGAAAATCGTGCTGATCTCTGGAATTACCAGTTGCATATAAAAAAAAACCTTTTTGCAATCTTTCTTAGTAACATAATGTTAGCCTAATGGTAATAAATTTTACAATAAAATAAATAAATAAAAGAAAATAGAAACAATAAACAAATTTGGTCGCCGCTAAGGCATCTCATTTGAGATATCACAATAGTGACCAATGTAAGGGCAGTCCAACCAGCTTGCAATCATATTTAGAATGCTGTTGATACTGCCCTGCACTCTACGTACTGGTGACGTGCATCTTTTACGCGTTGTTGCATTAAAAGCAATCTACGCGGGCTTCTGCAAACATCCCTGATGCACTATAAAATCGTGGCGACCCCAACAACATTCTGAATGTATTATTATATTAAATACGAATTAAATATAAATAAGAAGTGGGTAAAGATGAAAATTAATGAATTTAATAGTAAATAATAGATTACTTACTCTCTTTATTTGCGTTACTCTTCATTTCTGTAGCCTTCGGTGATGTAGACGGCATGGGTATCTCTAAACATACAATTGGTAATGTTTTTATTGAAATATAATTCAAATTAATGTACTTATTCTAGTAACATAATAAAAGTGATGGTTTACTTAATCGCGTTTAAATGGCTGAATGGTTTTGAATGAAGTTTGACACACAGGTATTCTATATCTCAGTTAAACATATATGAGGGAGAGGAGACTCAGGGAGACTTTGTACAAAAGTCGATTGCTTGGGTACCTCTATCCCATTCGTGTTTCAACCGTGAAGCAGCTGTGTTTGCATGGCTGTGTTTCGGTTTGAGGGGTGGGATATGGCATGAATTTACTGGGTACAGAGGAATAACACCTGAGTCCTCAGGAATGGCAACGCATGGGGGGTATCATGGCTGAAACAGTGTACTCTGTTATGTCCACGGTACTGCTCATGTCTATAGGCGACGGTTACCACTTTCCATCAGGTGGACCGTCAGCTTGTTTGCCATTCTAAGTTGTATAAAAAAATATGAAATTTTATATAGTGATTCACGTGGGCAAACTTGTGGGCTACATATATATGTAAATATAATGTTCATTATTATATGAATATTCAAGGCACATGAATTATTTATTTATTTATTTAGTTTCAGCATCCCAAAGAGTGATAAATGTCAGACAGATATCTTCGATTCAAGATTATATTTGGGAAACTTTATACATTATGCCTTCATTCAGACATAATTTTTTTAAGAAATGTTTTAATGTTTGTAATTCAATCATAGTTAAATGGCTGTAAAGTTAAACGGTTGAGTGAAAGAGATCTCTTTTAGAGATAACTTCACTTTTGCTATACTATATATTTTACTATTTGTTATTATCATTGTATTTTTTAGTGCAAAGTGCAAAATTTTTAAAAAAATTCATGAAGATGGACAGAACATGTTCTAGAGTCAAACAGGGGAATCATTTTATCCTAATTTATGTAGAAAAAGTCAAGGGTCTTAGCTAGCAGGATTACTATTGATGCCTATATTTTAAGCATTATTATAAAGAGAAAAAATAAGGTTTTGTTTATAAAAAAAATTACTGATTTTAAACAATCTTTCACCTATAGAAAACTGCATTATCAGCAAATAACATAAACTGTATTCTATTTCATAAAAAAATCTGCGAAACCGGGGTAAGTTGTTAGTCAATACAACAAAGAGGTTTCTTCTGAGGTTCAGAGTCTTTTCCTGGTATTGCAGGCGTTCATAGGTTATAGTAACTGCTTACCATCAGGTGAGCCATATGCTTGTTTACAACCTCAGTGGTATATAAAAAAAATATGTTTACTTACCGTACAATCTGATAGAACCTTCTGTTTCACCGAGAGAATTTTTCGAGATGCACCGATAGTTGCCGAAGTCACCGGTCTGAAGGTTCCGTACCGTTAGTTTCATGTGTGCTCTGAAAGTAAATAAAATTGTTTTATATTTTGTTTTCTTTTCAATTTATCGACAAAGAAACGAATAGGAAACATCTTGTATGCACTTTGAATTGCTCAGCTTAAACTAAAATAAGTTTAAAATAGGTATAGGTTCTTTCAGGATCTGTGACATGCACGTGACACCCCTAGTATTGCAAACGTCCCCTATACAGTGACTGTTTACTAACATTGTTTGTTAACATTGTGATATTAACCCATTGTGTACCTATTGTTGACAGTTCAGTTGGATAACTTTTTTATACTATCGTGACGGCAAATAAGCATACTGCCCATAGGATGATAAACAGGAGTACCATACTCTACGGACGTCTATAAGACTATAGATACTATGCGTGCGTTGCAAAAGTTGTTGCGTTGTTAAAGTACCTCATATTGTAGTCTCTAAGGAAAATCTCGGCAAGAAGATCATTCCACAATCTGAGTGTAAGCGGGAGGAAGTTCCTCTGAAAACGTACTGTGTGGTAATCATTCTGGTTCTAGGGCGTGAGGATGGATTCCCTGCCAATGGCGAGCGGTGGGATGGTTTAAGCCGATTGGAATGGCTATAGATATCATATCGAAGATATCTGACTTCTTGACTGGTCAGGTGATTCCAGGAATTTCAGGAAAGCTCAAGATTTAAAATTTATGGTAGATATTATTAAAAAAAAGACTAATGTCATAATTTTGGGTGAGTAAAGTCGTCGCTCGCATTAGCGTATCTAAGATAATTTACCAAGTGGGGAGGGAGTTTTGATCCCTTAAAAAAGACGCATGTCTCTTTCATTATCTATATATCTACTCTCACATGTTAATTAAATGTTTAGTTTATTCAATTTAGTTGCAGTTTATTCAGGACCACGTTTGCCGTAACCTCGTCGAAACATCGACAGACCCAGCTAAATTATCATGGTTTACCTAAATGATCTCGTTAATTCCGGACTCTTATAAACGACACTCTCGGGGGGAAGGGATTGTTGACATTGGGGATCTAACAACCCCATAGCTAGCAATACACCCTATCAGTTCGACCTCCACGCGGTTCTCCCTGAAAACCATCTTCATTATGAATATATTGACATATGAATTCGTCACTATGGGCTAACTGACCTATTTCATTCTCACCTGTCGTCCCTCACTGGTGCCCCGTCGGTGTATACTGATAGCGCAAGTGGGGTTACTATTCCATTAATATCCATTCAGAAAATAATCACATTCTCAGACATATCTTTACTTTGTGCATAGCTGAAAATCCCACTTATACTGGATTAAGCGCCAGACACTTCTGTGACTATGGAATGAGCTCCCTGCCGAGGTTTTCCCAAGAGACTACAGCATGGGGTTCTTCAAAAGGGGGGTAAAGAGGTTTCAGGGTCGGCAACGCGCGCATAATACCTCTGGTATTGCAGGTGTTCATAGGCTACGGTAACCACTTATCACCAGGTGGGCCGTGTGCTTGTTTGCCACCTCCTTAAGTACGCAAAATCATTCAGCAAGCTATATCAAAAATTTTCATGTAGAATTGAAACAGCCTGGAAACTATTGACACCAGAGGGTTTAATTCTTCTACAAGTAGTTTATAAACTTCTACGTAAAATATAAATCTTTACCTATACGAATTCTCTTCAGTGTTAATGGCGTATTTCCTAGTAGGTAGCACCATAACGTTATCATAGACCCAGTACGAAATGGCGCGTGGATGGGCCTCAGTATGGCAGTCCACTGTGACATCGGTGCCAGCTGGCGCTCCCACCAACTGGTTCGGCACCCAGATCATTGGTGAAACTGGAATTACAAAGGAATGTTAGAATATTCTGGAAATATATGCTATTGAAGCGATAAGTGTTTCTACCGTGAAGCAGTTGTGTTTGCATGGCCGTGTTTCGGTTTGAAGGGTGGGGTATGGCGTGAATTTACTGGGTACAGAGGAATAACATTTGAGTCCTCAGGAATGGCAATGCATGGAGAATATCAAGGGCAAAACAGTATACTCTGTTATGTCCATGGTACTGCTCATGTCTATAGGCGACGGTTACCACTTTCCATCAGGTGGGCCGTCAGCTTGTTTGCCATTTTAAGTTGTATAAAAAAAAACCTAACTGCGGTTGTCAAACGGTCTGGCAAAAGTGGCATATACTGGCAAAACAATCCATTAGACTTCTGTTCATAAATGGACATTGAACGGCTAATATGATGATGATGATGAATAGATAATAAATGACTATTATTAGTATCATCCCCAAGGGGGTATAACATCTCAAGAGCGGGGGGAAAGGAATTGTTAGAAATGGGGTCTAATAGCCCCATTATTACCAATATGCTCTCTCAGGTCAACCTCCGCGTTGTTCCCCCTGGAAATCATCATGTTTAATTCTTGTCGAATTCATCATGGTGGGCCAACTGATCTGTATTCATTCTCACCTATCATCTTCAACTGGTGCCTCGTCGGTGTATACCGATAGCGCGGGCGGGGTTACCAATCCATTTTCACCCATTAAAAAAACCCTCAAGAGCTTATATTTAGCAGTAAACAGTTAAAGGCTGATATGATGATGATGATGATGATGATTAATATCGTCACCGTTTTAATCATTAATTAGATTCGAGTTAGAAGACAAATTGGATTCATACACGATAGTACACAACTATATATAACTAAAGATATTTAATTCCTGATCTTGTGATCACTTTCGGATATATGAGATAGATACTGTACGGTTTACCATAAGTTAGCAGTTTTGGGGTAGTTTAGTAGTCACTCAGGTTTCATCCAAAGTACATGCATATTAGAGTTTAACGTATCTATTTATTTATTTTGTGATACATAGGTAACAATGGATGGCAAAACAATATAAGTCCTCTATGATCAACCCCATCTATCGAGGTATACAAATTTACAATTACATAAGAAAAAAAATATTATATAAAAAGAAAAATCAGCAATGTCGTATTTATAGTAAAAAAATATAATTATGGAAATTTATTACATTTATCTTCAAGGAAATCGTCAATTGAATAGTACGAGTATGTTCTGTTTACTAGGTTATAGGAATGGCAACGCATGGGGGGTATCATGGGTGAAATAGCTCTGTTATGTCCATGGTACTGCTCATGTCTATAGGCGACGGTTACCACTTTCCATCAGGTGGGCAGTCAGCTTGTTTGCCATTCTAAGTTGTATAAAAAAAAAATACTTATCTAAAGTTTAGGGTTAAGTTTTTTGTTCCATTTCTCCGTTACTTCCGCAAATTTTTTAGAATAAGTCATTTATATTTATTTCTTCTTTTATATAAAATTTAATTCTTTTATATTAAAATCAATCAAGAACTTGCTCTACAGCCCATAGTTCATTTCTTGGACTCTTTACATTTTTTTATGCAACTTAGAATGGCAAACAGGCTAACGGTCCACTTGATGGAAATAAGTAACCGTCGCTTATAGACATGAGCAGCAGTAACATGGGCTTAACAGAGTATACTGTTTCGCCCATGATATTCCCCATGCGTTGCCATTTTTGAGGACTCAGATGTTATTCCTCTGTACCCTGTAAATTCACTGCCATATCTCACTCTTCAAACCGAAACACAGCCATGCAAATATATCTGCTTCACGGTAGAAACACGAATGGGACAGAGGTGTCCAAGCAAACGACTTAGTAGTATATATTAAATAAATAAAATAAATAAATAAATTAGTAAATATTATATACTAGTTAAAAGCTTGATTTACACTTTGTTTGGATGAGGATATAAATTAAACCAAATCACTATCAGATGCACCAAAATAAAACTGCCCTGTGATACATATACTCTGATGCGGAACTTACTGTCGATAAAATTTATAGTGTTTTATGTCGCAAATTAACTGTAAAAAAGCAATGACCCTTGATTGTTGTTGAAATAAATTTTATATTTATTCCTGACATGAATAAATGGGGTTTTTGCTTTTGTTCCCTATGATATATGGATTGAAAGACCTAGATATACTGTTGCTATGAAAATGATGTAGTGTAGATTTTCAAAAATTATCAACGATAGTAATATTAACTCAATCACATGATTTTTTTATGCAACTTAGAATGGCAAACAAGCTGACGGCCTCCACCTGATGGAAAGTGGTAATCGTCGCTTATAAACGCCATGGTCATAACAGAGTAGGTATACTGTTTCGCCCATGATACCCCCCATGCGTTGCCATTCCTGAGGACTTAGGTGTTATTCCTCTGTACCCTATAAATTCACGCCATATCCCATCCTTCAAACCGAAACACAGTCATGCAAACACAACTGCTTCACGGTTGAAACACGAATGGAACAAAGATACCCAAGCAAATGTCTTTTGTACAGTCTCCATCTGGTATATAATTAACTCCAATGGGTTCATAAGATTTCATCCATTTTTGGGCATGGTCTTTCTTCATAAGAGAACGAACAGAATGTAATATTCTAATATTAATCACGATAGGCAATTGGTTAGTTTTGAAGAGATTCTTTATCAAGTATTTTTTTCTTTTGCACTGGTATATGGTATTTTGACCTTCAGCTGTCTCTTATGACATTCCGGGGACGAAATGAGTGGTCACATACATTCTTACTCCTTTATATACCGATGATAGTGTTATTTGTGTATTATAATTCTTGTTATTTATTTATACTTTTGCATACATTAAAATATATCTACAGAGAGGACTTAATGCCTGATGGCATTCTCTACCAGTTTACCGTTACGCTAAACAGAGAGAGAGAGAGTAAATGGCGATGCATAGAATTAAAAACAAAATGGTAAATTTTGAGTATGCTTACTACAATTACATATGTGTGTATGTGTATGTACATTTCAATATACATCAAGCATGTATACTGCGTGTTGTTGTACCGTTTATATATAGAACGAATGTGTTTCGTACATCTGAACAGAGAACAAACAAATCTTCACATCAATTTCACCGATTTCCTAAAGCAACACAATCGAGTCAACGCTTACAATTCCCAATCGCGTCCCGTTCATCACTCGCATCAATCAACGCAACAGGAGAAATAACGAGACAGACGCATAAAACGCTGTACACAGCAAACTTAGTGGAAGCAATTTATAAACTTTCAATCATGATTGATAGTACAAAGTTTCGGAGCCGGCGCCCCGGCGATTTTTCACACGACGGCCGAGATAATAAAATCCACACTTTGTGAATGTAATTCACATTTTCAGAGTTTATGATGGCAATTTTCAGGAAGAATATTACTCGTGCCGCGTGATGCGCTTTAATATTCTACGACGTTTTAAAATATTTATAAAGTTCCAGGTTTCTTTTATGTCCTTATGGCTGGATGACTTCATTATTAGAATGCAAGAGAGATTCTGATATTGTTATGTCTAAATTTTAAATGTGATATCACGTTATACTTATAAACGTGCGGTACTCGCTGCTTGCAATTGTTTAGAGCAGCCATATTCGTTTTATTTTAACGTGCTTAGGGTAGCTAGATATTGTCCACAACTTCGTGCATGTACAATTTGAATCAACAGAATAGATCATTTCTAGGTAGCGTACAGCGATAAAACATACAACAGATTTGACAATAGACGTTCAGAAATAGAATTGTGAAAACTGCATGTAATTTTGTGTTGTAGTTTCTATTTGATATCGGAACAAACAAACATATAGACAGTCTTTTAGACTTTCTTTCTAAATGTCTTCTAAGTATTCTAAAGTAAAGTCTTTGTCCAGTAACATTCTTATTCATCTTCTTTATTGTACACGAAAATAGAAATAATTAGATAAATATAGTTACTATATTTAATGTATAAAGTCGAACAAATCTATAAAAATAGATTTCTTTTGTACCTATGAATAGAATGAACAAAATGTAGGTTTATATATCCATACGTCCAAACTGCTTTGTACTTCCAATGCCTTGCTTTGCAAGATTACGTTGATAGCTCAAATATAGCGGTAAAAATATTTATGGTCTAGGAAATAATCCTAGACCATAAATATTTTTACCGCTTGTTATCCTCGAGGATCGATTGTCTGTTACCACAATCCTCTCTGGAGCATACAACGAGAAAAAATATTATCTTTCAATTATCACCCGCGGCCATCTTGTCTTTTATTTAGTCAGCTGCTCCTCGGAAGAATTGAAAATAAAATGGAAAGTCAGAATTCCGGTATAGAATAATAGTACTTTGCGGTATCTCGGCCTTTTTTTTCACATCTTGAAAAGGTCGGTTTTAAATAAAGTTGTTATATTCAATTTGTTTGAAATTGTCTTTTTTAAACTTCGTTCGTAAAATGCTACTAGACTGGTAGGAGTACGAAATAATTTGATTTAATAACGGAAATAATGGTGTTATTTTTAAAGGAATCATCTAACAGTGGAACTAAATAGTTTTCCTAAAGAAATATGCATCGAAAAATGACAAAAAAATGACCTTTTAAATTATATACCAGGGAGAGACGTTGTTTAAAAATTGTTTGCTGGGGTACTTCTGTTCCACTCGTACCTGCCTTCCATCAAAAGGATCGTTAGATTACACTTGCAGTTCGACAGTAGAAAGAAAAAGAAAAAAAAAGTTGTATTTCAACCCTTTTTTTTTTTTGAAAAGACACAGTTCCACTAATAGAACGTATCCTTATCATTAATAAATTATAGAAAATTTTAACCTTATTTCTTGAAGTCGGTCAAAAATAATGACCGTGCATGATAAATTAATAAAACACACTCACATTCGACGTCAACGATGATCCTTTTAGACACGGAGGGCGGCACAGCATTGGTGGCGATACACAGGTACGCCCCCATCTCAGTGCGGCTTATACGCTGCAAGCTGAGTGTGTCGCCCTCGTACACTGTCACTGCAACAAACAGAATATTATAATAGCGGTCCATCTTGTAATACCATACATACGATACTTGGACCGGTGATTAAAGGATAACAAAGGTTAACGTGAAATATGGCTGAGAGTTAACATGGAGTAGTTAGATATAAGAAAAAAATATTTCTGTAACTGGCGATCCAATCCGGCTTGGCACGCAGGCTTTTAGATAGAAATTTCGAAAATAAATACATAAAAAAAAAGTTGCAGCATTTTATATGCGATTCTTTGGAACGATATAACTTTTGTATTTATGAACCTATTGAAAAAAAAAAACAAACACTAAATATTAAGTGGAGCAATTCGCAATGCATTAGTGAAAACCGCATTCAAATCAGTTAAGCCGTTTCTGAGATTAGCGTGCACAAACGTACAATATATACAGACATACAGACAAAAATTTAAAAAAATATATTTATTGTAACTGTAATAGTTTTTTTTTTTATATATCTTCCATGTACAGACCAGGGACCAGTTACTATTGTATTATATGTATTGATAGATATATGCATAGATAAACTTTTTATTTAAGCCATTTTTGACACACGTAAATATATATATATATATATATATATATATATATATATATATATATATATATATATATATATATATATATAAATAGCAAAATAATACATTCAAACAAATTACTATGCACTAATTCCTAATGGTCTTGCCATTTGCAGCCTAAACACTGTTATTGTTCTTTAAAAAATTTTTAAACACCAACATATGGTGTTCAGTTGTAGTCGGCAGTAAACGGTCTCAAGCCATCTGTATCCATTGACTTCCTGCAATGCATTTAGAGTCGTCACTGGTCACGCTATACTATGCTATGCTATACCATTTTGCCTGTACGGGATCGTCACTCAAGAACGTTTCTTCCCCATCGGTTGTCAGTTCTTCGAGCTACGTGACCAGCCCATTGCCGCTTCAGCTTGATTATCCTTAGGAATGGTATACATGTATTTTTTTTGATGAGTGAAAATGGTATAATAACCCCGCCTGAGCTAACGGGATATGCTGGCGGAGCACCAGTGAAGGGAAGATGAGAATGAAAACAGATCAGTTAGCCCATCATGATGAATTCATCAGGAATTAACAATGATAGTTTCCAGGGGGAACCGCGAGGAGGTCGACCTGGTTGGGTATATTGCTAGCATTAGGATTCTCAGTGTCCATTACTAACAATCCATTTCTCCCCGGTATACATGTATTAGAGGTATTATCGCATACACATCACCGTTTATTCTCTAATAGTTACGGTTATGTTATTCTTATTTTTAGTTATCGGTTACCTCTTTTCAATGGTGTCTACTTGACATAAAATCTATTGGTATATTTTTTTTTCTTTGACCTAAAAAATCTTTTTACGACTTTATACTTATTTATATTTTTGGTACGTTTTCCAAAGAATGCAAATCACGTATTCTTCGGCACCGTGAAAGCGGCCAACATGGCAGAAAGCACACGGAGCTAATTGCGAAAGTAACCCGTCACCAACTTCATTAAAAGGCAAAAGGTATTTTTTCATCAAAAACTCGGCATAAAGCGATGTTTACGTGCCGGGGCCGCTCCTTTGACCGGCACGCATCCTGTTAAACAATCTAGCTTAAAAACTCATAAAAATTAAAAATTCTGCGCGCGTCCGTGCGGCTCTGCGCGCCGCCATCAAGTGGCCAAATGAGTTTGCCTGTATTTACAATTACGGAACATTCCCGCGGCCGCAGGAGGGAACAATGAATGTAATGAGAGTACTCGACGCTCGAATATATTAAGCAATTAGACCGGCTTCCCTCGGATGCAACTACCGCGTTTTAAAGGTTAATTTTTTAGTTGGCTCTCTGTAAACATGTTCTGTTTCTTGCTTTCACAATTAAACACATGTATTCTTTTGCAAAGAGAACAGTTTTCGTTTTTACGTATGAATTGTGTTGTCAGTGATTTAAAATAACAGTATAATAAGATTTTGTTTACCTTTGTACTTCTGTTAGATTTGTGAGAAATGGGAAGTTGAAAATTGTGCAATTTCTATTATGTTAATACTAATGATAGTTGGAACTCAGCGAAATTGAAAATTCATAAGTATATATATAGTATTACCGTGTAGTTTCGGTGTGGAATGGGCCATTCCTTTCTTTTCCATGGATGTTGTAATAGGCGACTAAGGGAATTTAATAATCGAAGGATAGGCAGCAGCGTCTCTCTTAAAACTTCATCAAAGTTTTGGTTGGTTGCCAACCCGTCTGCCAAGTATGACAACTAATGGAAAAACTCATCAAAAGGAAGACCTTTGTTCAGCAGTGGACAGTTAACAATTGATATCATGTTCATCATAAAAGTATAGATCTTTATAAATGATAGAGAACACTTTGACACTGTTTTTAGAATAAGAATTCTAAAAATGTAATGGTCTACCTAAAGGAAGGTGGTAAACGTTATGTCGCCTATAGACATGTTAATTATTTAATAAACATTAAAACATGTTTATAATATAGTGTTTAAATATAAATTGAACATCCAAATGAGCGCTTCATATCGCACGTTTCATATAATAGGCCGCATTCAACTATCACCTTCCCACAAAATTAATTTCGGCTCACCGCTGACTCTGTGCCAACTCGACCCCGCATTGATTTTGGACACAAATTCGCCCGCTAACTAATCGCTGGTTGACATCGTGATGTCACCGTATTTAAGGTTATCCGACCGTGAAGAAAGCTTGCATGCTCACATGGACGATAGTGCACGTCGCCGCAAACTGTACACTGTCAGCATCGAGACACAATTTTGGTTAGAAATTGATTTTAAGTCAAGCAAGGAAAACATACCTAAATTGAATTTTAAAGACAGATCTTTTTAATTTTATAAATGTGAAGGTTTGTTGAGATGTTTGTACTCGTACGTTTACAATCATACTTAAACGGCTGAAAAGAACGAGAATTGAAAGAAATTGAACTTGAAGGAATGAAAATTGATACATGGGTAGTTTATAATATAATATATAGGATACAGATATATAGATCAAGCAGGTATGGGGAAAGCTAGTTTTACATAAGTGATTGATATATTAACTAAATTACTTAGTGCGGAATTGTAATTCACAACTTAAAAAGGCCTTAGTGATAATAAGTACATGATAATGGCAGAATGAAGGCATGGTGGTTTTGTTAATTTTAATCGTCTTTAACACATAAAGACAACAAGGACTTCATACTATCAGCAGTGTTAGTTGAAAAGTTTTGACTGCTCTTTTTCTTGGATTATAGATGTCAGCTTGTTAACTTTAGATTGGCTTGTTTCTGTAGTTTCGTTCGCGGGATTCTTTATATTCCTTCGGTTCCTGTAACTTCCTAATATTCTTCCTCAAGGCTCACTTACATTGTATTTGTAAACTATGAATAGTTCTATATGTTAAGGAAACTCTCAGCGATATAGTATATTTCTAGGTCCAGTAATTTGTTTTGAGCATTAATCACCTAGTCAAATTTTCGGATTAGAAATTTAATGGCCGTAATATAATCTCAAATTAGAATTAGGATTAGTGAATTACAATTTTGGAACGAAACCGGCCCCACTGCTCTAACAGCCAGCTCTCAAACGGGTGATGAGTGTTTCCATTAAATCCAGAAATAAAAAGAGGATTTGCAGCCACCGTATTAATTCAAACAAAAGCTTAACACGTGCCGAATTGGAAACGGGAGCAGTTTCCGATGCCGCGCGTAATTAAAGCATTCGACGCAAACCCTTCGCAAATAATCATAGCAGATGGGAGTGACACGTCCGAGGGGTGTTACGAGAGGGCGGGAGGGGGGGAGAGGGTCACACACAATTAGCGACAAGTGCCTTTCCACACCACACGTTAATTTTCGCTGGTACAAGAAATGCGCTCTTAAAATTAAACCCAATTTTTGGACGCTTTTGTTGGAAGCACCCACCAGCTCCTGATGGGCACTTGAACTGTTAATTTGCCGGTAAAACTCAGCTTTCTCTGTACCATAATTATTGTGAAGCAGTATTTTTTACTTAAAACCGCTTAATTATGTAGAGGTTGTGGCTTGACACGGATTGAGTTGACATGGGTTAAATGTCATGGTTTTAATATAATAACAAACGAACTTGGAGACATACAACTTTGGTTATATGATTTAAACCTAAAATTGGGTCCTTGCCATGTACCCTATATATTTTTCAAATACATATGTAGCACAAACGCAAGTCTTTACGAAGATTTGATCACGAATTTTAAGGTCGTCGAATTACTAGTATCTTTTGAGGTGAGAGAGATTGTGAAGGGACCCAGAGTTTTAAATATGTTGATAAGTATTAAATGTAATAACAATATCCACTAACATGATAATAATTTGATATAAATGTTATAATAAATAGACGAAAGAATTAAAATTGCTTTTAATTATTTCATAAATGATTACAGTTGTAAGCATATTAAATATTTCAACTAAAATAAAAGAGGAAGACAAAAATCTGTACAAAAGTCATCTGTATGGATAATTCTGGCCTATTTGTCTTTTAGGAGTTTTGCATGGCTGTTCTTCAGTTTGAAGGGAGGCGTATGGTAATAAAATAAATTCTGTTATAGATGTTCATGGTTTGAATTTATGGGTATGATACCATAGTTCCCGTAAATGACAACTCATGAAGGGTACAATTGGGGTTAAAGTATTATTCTGTTATAGTGTGTTGTTTGTGTTTATAGGCATCCATCACTTGGATCGTCAGCTTGATTACCATTTTAAGTTATAAAAATATAAAATAAAATAAAATTAATAAATGAGAGCTGCTTTTTTTTTTTTAAATCAAATGTTACTTATTTTAAAATCATAATTGACGATAAAATACCTTTCTTCCTTCTATCGACGGATATAGGCTGTCCATCTTCTCTTCTCCACATGATTTTGGGTGCTGGGAACCCATCAGCCTTACACACCAAGCTGATGTTTTGGTTCTCTCGCACTGCCACCGCTGACTGTGTGCTTTCCTCGTCTAAGATGTTTGGTGGTACTGTTGACAAAGCAGAGTTTGAATTTAGAATGCACATAATATACTTAGAGTATTCAAAAATATTGTTTCCAACAAATTAGGAATTAACTATGATCTCATTATGTAACTTGTCCATGTTAATTTTCAATTGTCATTTTAACGGCTTAATGACAAATTTTGTAAAAGCAAGAGTAGCTAGAATAATTTAACGACTATTGCCCTTGTAGTGAATGATTGAATGAATAAATGAATGAATTAATACATTTTATTGCTAAAAATTTGGTACAATAAGGTGATATGGTAATATTATAATGTTTTCACACAATTTGTCATTACTGACGTGCAACAGTCATTACAAAAATTATGACAAAAATATAATAATATATTTCTTTAATGTATAAAAATGTAAACGTAAATCTAAGAGAACGTAATATTCGACATGCTCATTTTTTGCCGAGCATATTTCAATATGAAACCAACACAGGAGTAGAAGAACATTGTAAAATGCACAAAAAACAAAATTCTATCTAATTGAGAATTCTGTTTTCAAGTGGTATTAAATATGGCAGTACATTATCTTTGGGTGTGATAGGATTAAAGTAATAGGAGCTATTAGGGTTCGTATTGAAATGTATGTACTCGTAATTCTTTTAACAAATAAATTAATATATCGGAATTCCAATTACGACCGTTAACTTTTTTTTGGTTCTATTTTCCCTGTGTACGGGGAAGGCAAAAGTATTAAGCCTATACAGCCATTGTCACCAGTTATTTTCTAGTTTTGCTAGATTGATTCTTCAAATGTTGAAATTACATATTCATATATGGATTTGAATATTCCTTTACATTTTATAAAAGAGAACTTATTTAACACACCAAGCTATATAAAAAGAAATAGGTATTGACCTACGTTGTGAATAAGGTTATATAGGAGGGATTGACTGAAAACCACCGCTGTGCAGCTGTTCACATTGCGCTGGGACACTCACAGCATCAGCTGAGCCGGTTCCTTTTGCCTAGTATGGGACACTTTTTGTATATGTTATTTATATTTTATATTGTAATTGTATGTTTACTGGCAATAAATGTTTCTATTCTATTCTATTCTAAAAATGTCATGTTTTAAAAATGAAAATTAATTACCAGAGGGAGACTTTGTACAAAAGTCATTTGCTTGGGTACCTCTATCCCATTCGTGTTTCAACCATAAAGTACATAGTTGTGTTTGCATGGCTGTGTTTCGGTTTGAAGGGTGGGATATTGCATGAATTTACACGGTACAGAGGAATAACACTTGAATCCTCAGGAATGGCAATGCATGGGGGATATCATGGGCGAAACAGTATAATCTGTTATATCCACGATACTGCTCATGTCTTTAAGTGACGGTTACCACTTTCCATCAGGTGGGCCGTCAGCTTGTTTGCCATTCTAAGTTGTATAAAAAAAATGAATTACAATTTGTCTAAACATTGATCCAGTGCAATAGTAAAAGCGTTCCGTTTTTTTTTAAACTGTCACAAAAATAGTTTTCCGCTTAGATACACAAGCCGGTCGCAACATATACAGTCAGTCTGTTATACTAGGGCTGTTCCGACCAAGTTTTAAGTGGAAATAAAGCGGTTTTTCCCCGTCGCTTCCCAGCCTTCGCACGTTGCAGCCTGTTGTTTTTATCTACGTTTTATTGCGGAGGGTCGGCCTGTGGCCGCTATCGAATCTTTACGGTTACGATTCGCATTCATTAATTGATTTCGACAAATTCTCCACGATTTTATCGTTCGCCCGTGAGAGTTTTTGTTATGAAGAATTTCGCTTATTGATCTTTCGAATAAAGTTATTTCACGTGTTATCTTTTAACGTTGTTGGGCTTATTGGTACTATTTCTAAAAAAATGTAAGTCTTTAATTGAAAGAAAATTTTTAAGAAATTATGTTTTTTGAGAAAGTCAAGTCATTTGGCTTATTGTAATGAATTTATGAGGAATTGATTATGAATTTCTAGAAGGAATAATGAGGTCAACCTACCAGGGTTTATTACTAGTAATTCCCATCAGTGTTTTTTCTTTTTTTTATGGGTGAAAATGGAATGGTAACCCCGCCTGCGCTAACGGGATACGCTAGCGGAGCACCAGTGAAGGGTGATTGATGAAGAATGAAAACAGGCCAGTTAGCCCATCATGATGAATTCATCAGGAATTAACCACGATAGTTTCCAGGGGGAACCGCGAGGAGGTCGACCTGGTTGGGTATATTGATAGCAATGGGATTCTCAGTCTCCATTACTAACAATCCCTTTCCCCCCTCCCATCATTGTTTGCTTTACTAACAATTCCTTTTCTCCTGATGTAGGATGTTAGCAGTGACGGTACTGTCAAAGGAATCAGGTACACCTGGCAGAATTGACACTCATGTCAATAATAATAACGTGATTATAGTTGTAACTAATACACTCATGTCAGTCGGGACGTGAGCTACTCAATGGGAGCACGTGTTTCATGCTCTGTCTCAACGTCGAGCGTCGTTGTTTTACTGTCTGAAATTGTATTTCCGTAAATATGAACAATATAATAATAATTATTATTATTTCAGCCGTTAACTGTCCACTGCTGGACATAAGCCTTCCTTACAAGGGGAGATATGCCAGTAGTTGCCATGCTCGGCAGACGGGTTGGCAACCGCATTTAGGCGTTTCAGGATGTTTTAAGAGGGATGCTCCTGCCCATACCTCGCTCTCCCTTAATCGCCTCTTATGACACCCTAGGGAAGGAAGGGGTGGCCCATTCTATGCCGGGACCAGACGGCGATAATATAATATATATTAATCATTTATTCAGCTACAAAACATACAAATATTAATGACAAATTTATACATTAAAATCATATTTTTTCTAGTAGCAGCTGAAATGGTCTTCACTCAATTTAAGCTGTAACGTGTTGCTGCAGCGCTGATTTCTAGTGGGGCCACCACTTAATAGGTCTCAATATCTTGTTCAAAGTTAAAAAAATCGGATTTTTACCTTTATTTGTGCTGTACGTCAGCGCTTTTCGTTTGTTTTGATTCTAGAATTACCCTAAAGGTTATGGTTCTCTTGCAAATGTCAAAATATGCGCTGTAAACGTTAATATCTTTTCATTGCGTTGATTTAGAAATTTGTTTTTTTTACAGTTTTAATGGTTTGTAAATTTAAATATCGGTATTATATTAATTTTAGCTGCATACCTTTGCATACGCATTACTGAGAAAAAGGGTGTTGGGAGACGGACACTGTCCGTCCGATGTGACAACAAAGTAACCTAAAGTGGTTTCATTTTAAACATATAGCGGCTGTTAAAACTCTTCAAATACTTTGTTTTCTACTAATCCGAGGTTACTAATTTGAAAAATTAAGATATATTAATTTTTCGAAAACGAACCATCGTCCAATGGTTGACTAGTAGAGAACACCGTCCGGTGTTAAGTCCGCCAAATATATATATATATATATATATATATATATATATATATATATATATATATATATATATATATATATATATATATATATATATATATATATTTCGCTGTGCGTTAAAGTTTAAAAAAAAATATTTATACTTAAATATAAATTTACGCTCTCGACAGACTCTCGACAGTCCGCTACAGGAATATTCTTGGATACTTCCAAGAATTGTACAATCTGGACAAGCCAATGATTGTAGGCAAGATAGAGGGAAAAAACCACGCGGACGATCGCCTAATCGATGGTCGGACCAAGTAACCGCCGTTACGGGACTGTCAATTGCAGCTGCCCTACGAGAGGCTGAAGACGATCTTCAAATGAAGGTCGACGATCAGACTTCAGACGATCTGCGAAATGGAGTAACATCATAAGAGAGGCAACAGACAAGTTTCAAGGACACGACCTTCAGTAATGAAGTGGACGAAGAGAGAGAGAGACAGAGATAAATTTACAACTCTATTTAGATAATGAAATATGAGGTGTGAGGGAATGAGGATACATTTTAAGAAAATAAATTAGTGTCTATCTATATACAGATATGTGGTAGTGTGTGTATCAATGTAATTTAAAGAACCTAGCTTTTCAACAGCACTGCCACTGGATATTGGTATGGCAATTTTTCTTTGTGCAATAAAGGGGAAAGGCGAAATAAACATATGACTGTGGAGCGTGGCGCGTGGGCGTATGTACCACTTGCGCTCATTTATATACAGCCAGAAGGGACCAATTTTCAAATTCATTAGTTATGGCAGTATATATCGTTTTACTAATCTATTACCATTTTTATTTTTATATTATACAGACTGTAGTTTAAATCTTTAGTGTCTTTATTTATCACTCTGAAAATTTCTTCTCTAGTTAACAAGAAGAAAAATACCTCCTTAAAAAGATTATATGTTTGTATTATTACATTTATTTTGGTACACAAGGTGACGTCAATATTATTAGCGTCCTGTAAGAGCTTTGTTATTAACTGGATATTTTTTTCAAAGAAATCCATTGGTCGACATTGACTGGTTAAGCTGCTAAGGAATTTTTATCTTCCACTAATTAATATTCTCAGTCAATTTTGCAACGTAGCAGGACATATGCTACGAAATTGACAAATGGAGTGAACAAGTAACTTTATGGTATCCAAGAGAAGACACTAGAAGAAAGGGGCGCCCGAAAATAAGATAGATAGACGACATCCGTCAAACTTTAGGGCCTTACTGGAGTAGAGTGGCGGAGGATAGAGTTCAGTGGAGAGAGCTGGAGGAGGCCTATGCCAGGAGGCACACCGAATTGAGAGATATATTATAATAAATAGAAAGGGAAAATATGTCTTACTAGGGTTATAGAGAATTCGGAGTAAAAGGGCTTATATATATATATAATTAATATTCTCTTGTCTGATATGCTTTAGAATATATTTTAACGTAGGACACCTATTGACCTATTTATAGAGAACCTTGTTAAACCATAATTTAGTAATAAATTTAATTCATTTTATCATTCATTCATTTATATTTTTTTCTTGTCGAGATATGTACTAGAATGCTGCAAAATATAATTGGCCACCAAGAAAATCACTATGTAACTGGCCACTAATAAAAGAAAAATCCCAACTTGTTCTATAAAAAAAAAAAAAAATATTTGTCATTTGTTATTACTAATAATGATTTTCCCGCTCTGTATTATATTACATTTTCCCGTTGTTTTTTTTTTATGAAAACACAATCTTAATGTGCCTTCACACGAATTTGGTGAAAATACTGTCCTAGAAATATTTGCAGTGTATGAGAACTGTAGCGCGTGTTTTTACATTTTCCACAAGAAACTGTGTCCATATCCTGCAGTCTGTTGTCTTCATCAGATTGGTTCCGGTATGTGTGCTATTTTTTATAGCACGCTGGATCGGATTACAGGTCATTAGGTCTCGTTGTTATTTTTATATAATAGCATGACCCATTGATTCTATAGCCACCTGATGGTAAGTGATAATGAAATCTATCCGTGTGGGTTGCAGATCCCACGCAAGATTACATCTAATCTGCGGCCCACGCCATGTCGGCTGATATAAATATTTTTTCATACTTCTCTTGAAGAAATCCATGTTATACTTGGCAGGAAACACAGGTCTTGGAAGGGCTTGAAAGAGCTCCCAAACTAGTTTATGGGCATTTGTTGTTCCGAAGTCAAGAGACTATATAAGTTTGTGAAAGAACTAAGATCAGTCCTCCTAATAAGATCGGTGAAGTTTCATGTCCAGAGGGAGACTTTGTACAAAAGTCATTTGCTTGGGTATCCCTGTCCCATTCGTATTTCAACCGTAAAGCAGTTATGTTTGCATGGCTGTGTTTCGGTTTGAAGGGTGGGATATGGCGTGAATTTACATGGTACAGAGGAATAACACCTGAGTTCTCAGGAATGGCAACGCATGGGGGGTATCATGGGCGAAACAGTATACTCTGTTATGTCCATGGTACTACTCATGTCTATAGGCGACGGTTACCACTTTTCATCAAGTGGGCCGTCAGCTTGTTTGCTATTCTAAGTTGTATAAATAAAAATGTCGCTCCATCAGTGACAAAACATTTTGATGTTGGACAATTTATTCCCTTAAAAATGCACTACTAAACATGTAGCCATATTAATAAAATAACTTTAATTTCGTTTCTTATCTTTAAATATTTTTGATAAAACTGTTCCGACATCATAATCTTCAAGAGAAGAGCATATTTCTTATTAAAAGGTTGGCTACCTTCGTGAAAAGAGCAAGTAAGAGAGAGTAGAATTTTAATGCCTCTGGTGTTACGGGTGATCATGAACGGCAGTTATCACTTATTATCACATGAGTCGTACGCACGTTTGTCCCTGTGTTATAATAAAAATATCGGCTGCCGAACATATACATCACCCATAAGGGCGGTATGCCGGTAGTTGCTACGTTGGTTTTTATGGCGTTTTAAGAGAGCAGCAGTATTTCCGAACCGATACGACAACATAACCTTCAAGAAAAGAGCATATTTCTTTTTAAAAGGCCGGCAGCACACCTGCAATGCCTTTAGTGTTGTGGGTGATCATGGGCGGCGGTAGTCACTTACCACCAGGTGAGCCGCATGCTCGTTTGCCCTCTGTGTTGTAAAAAAAAAGATTCTGCCGTCCGTTCCTCGAACAACTTCTCCTCCTTTAACACCCACGGGAAAGGAAGGAGTATTCCATTCTCTATCGATGTATATTGGATTACAAACTAATATTAAATTCATCAAGCGACAAGTGGAAGTTGCTCTTTTAGCTGCAACCCGAGCAAGTTGCTAGTAAACTTGTAATTCGCTATGTAAATCAGGCGGGCGGCGCTGCAGACGCGTCAATTAGCCATTAACAAGTGGCAAACAGTTTGACGGAGCTGATGCGGATTCGATACAAATGTTAAGCTGTTGATTTAGTTGCAATACAGATCTAACGATTTACAAGGCAAAGACTAATGCCTAAACGCTTGGCTTGGTGGGGTGGGTCTTTGAGCTCCCTATAATATCGTTGGATACAATGATGGCTGGCTCATCCGTCATATTCGTGAATGGGTGCTTCTTGTAGGGACTGCTCTTTTCAGGACTACTACAATTGATTGTAGCTTGTATCTGTATGAAATTTATGATAAATATCGTATCCATTCACATATTTATTTCTTTTCTAAACTAAACTTTTGTAAAAAAAGCAACAGCTAAATTTCATGCCCGTTTTTTTCAGCTGCAATTGTATTTTTTGTTTTACAACACAGTGGGCAAACGAGAATACGGCTCACCTGATGGTAAGTGACTACCGCCGCCCATGATCACCCACAACACCAGCGGCATTGCAGGTGTGGTGCCGCCGTTTTAAAAATGAATATACTCTTTTCTTGAAGGTTACGTTGTCGTATCGGCTCGGAAATACTTCTGCTGGAAGTTAATTCCAAAGAATGGTTGTGCGTGCTTATTTCGGACTATGCGATAAAATAATATGATTAAATAATGATTCTTAAAAATGACTAATTAAAATTATTATAATTGAGTGTACTGGAATTAAAATAATTTTTATTTATTTATTATTTACTTATAACTAAAAATTAGAACCTCTTACAAATTCATTTTAACTCTTAGACTATTTTGTCACTTTAGAAAAAGATAAAACCTTTAAAAAGCTAAAATAGGTTTACGAGATATTTGACGTTTTTATGAATAAAGAGGAGAAGTTTTATTATTACTCTAGCAGTAAAATTGTACATCTTTCCCAAATAGTATATGGATTGAAAACCAATGATAAATCTACACCTCTAATACTAACTCGATATTTGGATGCGTCGTAGTATGTTAGACGTGTTTTGTTATTTTTAACAATTTATTTTTAAGTGAATACTCATATATTTAGATATGCTCTTAATGGGATTCGAAAGATTTTGATTTCACCATAATAAAGCAATAAAAAGACTTCAGTTAGAATAAATAAAAAAAAAAAGTTTAAAAGATTATATGTTCCCAACAATTTTTTTTTATTCTTCGCAATTATCTTCTTTTTTTTTCAGTATTTCAAATTGAACGAGTACAAAACCGGTATGTTTGTACTACCAGAATTGTAGATTACTTTTGTAGAGTAGAGAAAGCAATTACTTGTACCCATCAAGAAGCACAATAAAGGAAGCTTACTACCTTTCAATTTGTAGGGATGTAATTAAAAGTTTTTCTTTAGAAACGAACCGAAACAACATGGACTTCATTATCAATATTTTATTATTCTTATTTGAAAGTTCCTCTCGCTGTATTTTTATGAATTCATCCAGAATATTAGCCTACAAAGGGTTGGTGAAAATATTAATTTAAATTAACAATTAGGTTAAAATTGAATTAGTAAATTTGGATAAAGACTTTGGGGAATTTATTTCGAAATTCTTTTGGGCCGTGTAATAATATTTTGTGATGCTTTTGTTTGTATACAGTAGTTACAATGTTTCAACCAAATTTAAAAAGAAGGAAACTTTCAGCTGTAATTTACCTATATGTGTATTATTTTTTATTAAAAAAATACTTTTTTTTATACAACTTAGAATGGCAAATAAGCTGACGGTCCACCTGATGGAAAGTGGTAACCGTCACCTATAGACATAAGTAGTACCATGGACATAACAGAGTATACTGTTTCGTCCATGATACCTCCCATGCGTTGCCATTCCTAAGGACTCAGATGTTATTCCTCTGTACCCAGTAAATTTACGCTATATGATATGCAAACACAACTGCTTCATGGTTGAAACACGAATGGGACGGAGGTACCCAAACAATTGACTTTTGTACAAAGTCTCCCTCTGGTACTTACAGATTGGTTCCATAGAAATTTTATCAAAATTAAATAAAACTTAAATAAAAGACTTTGCTTCCCTCTGTGTGTTCTACTGTTTGAATAACGGATTGTGTTCTGAGAAATTATTCTAAATTATGCCCACAGTTACCTTTTACCATTGCACCGCTCGCTATCGACAGGGAATTCATTCTCACATGCTTCAATCTAAATGGTTATGTACAATGCGGTTTGAAAGGAGTTTCCTCCAGCAAACGCTCAGGCTACGGAATGAACTCTCTGCCGGAGTTTTTCCCTAGAGACTACAATACGGGGTCCTTTAAAAAATGTATTTTAAGGGTTTTCCAGGGTCAGCGACGTGCACGTTACAAGCTTACGTGGTTACAGTGATCGTTTACCATCAGATGGGTTTCATACATGTTTACCACCTTATGGTATAAAAAAAAGTCCTCATGTCTTGATTTAGTTTTGGTAAATTCATCTAACTGACCTGTTTTATCCTCCCCGATCATTATTCACTGGTACCCTGTCAGCGTACATCGATAGTGCAAGGCAAAGTTGCCATTTCATAATTATCCTTTAAAAAAATATCTTTGATTGCCCAATTACGGAATGTAGTGAGAATATTTATTTTTATTTTCGATTTTAGAATATGAACATATTATATCTATTTATTTTATATTACTTGCGTGTAGTCTTAGCATAGTACGGGCCACCCCTTTCATCCCGTTTGTAACTGTGGGTAGCGTAAGAGGCGTCTAAGGGAATGGTCGAGGATTTTTTTTTATACCACTGAGGTGGCAAACAAGAATACGGCCCACCTGATGGTAAGCGGTTACCGTAGCCTATGAACGCCTGCAATACCAGAGGTATTACGCGTGTGAGGAATAGGCAGTAATGGCCTATTTAAAATATCACCAAAGTCTGATAGTTGTTGCTAATCCGCATGTCTAATATGGCAATTACTGGCAAAACTCCCCATCACGGAGGAGGGCTATATTTAGCAGTAGACAGTAAACAACTGATGACGATATGATGACGATACAAAACAGAAGAAGAAGAAGAATTAAGATAACATCAGAGTGGTTTTGTTTCTGTAGTTTACATATATATTTTTATTCCTTTTTGGTGTGGTGGTTAAAGAAAGAGAAGCTTACCAACTACTTGTAGGTATCCGACTTGGCTGATCATGGGGTTGGTGTTAACTTGACACATGTAGTAGCCGCGGTCCTCTTGCTGCACCTGACTCACGTGCAGTAGCCACGTCATGGCGTTGTCATGGGATACGCTGAACCTCGCCAGCCGTGTGATGACATGCCTGTGGATCGTCAGGATCATCTGACGATCGATGTGGATCCACGCCACCTGTTCGACCAACAGTGTTGTGTTTTAATTTAATTTAATCTTAGTAGTGCGTTCGAATAATACTTAGAATGGCTAATAAGCTAACGTCCTGCCTGATGGTAAGTGGTAACCATGTTTTATAGATTTAAAGAGCATCATATATATTAGAAGCTGTATAAAAGAAGCCGAGTAAGTCCCGGTATAGAATAGGCTCCCCCTTACTTTCCCGTGGGTGTCGTAAGAGGAGACTAAGGGAGCTTATGATAGGGAGAAGGGCAGCAGCATTCCTCTTAAAACATTACCAAAAGCCAAATTGCGGTTGCCAACCTGCTTGCCAAATGTGGCAACTAGGCAAATGCCTATAATATACCATACATGAGAAGAAAAATGTAAAGCCTCTATATCTTGTAATTTAAAATTACAAAAATATCTATTATGCCTTAAGATTAGTTGGGGAAAAAAATATTTTTGTTAGTTTGCCATTTGTGTGTATTTAATAGCTAACTCGGCACACATTGTTATACATCATAAAAAGTATTGAGGGTCACATATCAGGAAACAATCCTGTGTCTAAAGTTGGACATAAAAATATATATTAACCCATTCAATACGGCGGCCATATTGAGATCCCTATGCAGTATACGGCTTAGTTTTTCATAAACGGCCGTCACTGACGGCACAACTTTTTCTACGTATATGGCTTAGTTAATTGTTAGGAGTGACTGCCAGTAAATAACGGGCTTCCACAAGTGACTGGAACGGTCTAAAGCACGTTTGAAACTAAAGGAAACCGAGCGCCTCGGAGCGCTCGCCGTCATTGGGTAAGGGTGGGGACAGCGCCTCGAGGCGCTTGCCGTCACAACGTATAACATTGGAGAGCGCCCTGGCGCGCTCTCCGCATTGAATGGGTTAAAAAAAAATCATTTAAATCCATTTATCAGATTCGTAGATTACTGTTTTTAAGATTTTACATGGTATATAAACGATTGGTCGAGAAAGTTACAATTAATCTTTGCAAATAAATACCCCAATAGTGAGAATATGAACAAGTACATATAGGAATGAGATGAGAATAAATGCTGCCGATTGTAAACCTATGATTTGGTTCAGACTTGACGAAAATATAGTATTGAAACAACATGTTTGAAGAATATACTTATTAAAAACTACACAAAAATTTACAAAGTTCTTTTCGAATTCGGCGATAAATCATTTAATAAATTCAATTACCCTTTTTTCAGTTTGAAGAATAAAAGCTCTCTATTTTTAAGATTCTACTTAAAGAGTCCTTTATTCATGTCTGGTTTTTATTTCAACATAGAATTACTCATTCACTGAAATCGATAAGATGCCACGTAATTTATTCTTTCTTTTCAGTTTAAATGTAACCAAAGCATCTAGATAAGGTCTAGTCACGTCAATAAATCTAGATAGCTAGATACGTTTTAGGATTTATTCAGTTTTATAGCAACAATAAAGATTTCATTTCTGTAACGGAAAGTTTACAACCGGCACCTGGTTTGAACGTGAATATTAACCGATACAACAAAGGTTACTGGCCGTGCAGTTGAACCGGGAGTAAAATTTAACTGTAACAGTTCAGGAAATTGGATTTGAACCACCACAATGAATAGTGAATTATGTGTATTAACGTGTTCTCCACCTTACAGAAAAGCCTGTATGCACTAGACAATTTCCTTTTATGTAAACCATATGATTTGTAGAATAAAATATTAGGTTTTAATGCTGAGACACTAAACATTTGGATACCAATTCCGGGTGTTCTAAGTATCCTAGCATAAAACTCATTTTCAAAGTCATATTTATATTTTTTATAAACCGATTGTCATTTGATTCGGGCTTCAGATGGTCGGTGAGTCCCAGCCAGTATTATTTATAATAATATCGCTTTGTCCCACTGGGCCAGATATTATTGACTCGTGGGTGGTAGCCCACGCAGATTAAGTCCGAGAAATAAGCTTTAGAGCTTCGAGGCTCATACCTGATTCCCTGTAAGGCGTGTACATGACCCGTTGTAGTCATATTAGGATTTTTCTAAAAGGATTGTCATTTGATTCGGGCTTCAGAAGCTAGATAGAGCCACGTTAAGGGCCTTTTTGTAAGATGTCGTCATTGATTTTGTCAGATCTCCTAAAAGGACTCGAGTAGAGGCCTCGGAGTGGACCTTTTTCCCCGGAATCATCACCGGTAGTAACTTCCTTCTAGTCTATAAAATCATTGCTTCGGTGACTGGTATCTTGGTAGTTTTGGATGGTAAGATTTGGGTCTTTTTTTCCCTCTTGTATGCCAAAATCATTGGTACAAGAAGCTAATATCCACACACGAGTAGTGATGTGTATTGAGGCTTGTGGCGTCTGGTCAAACGTAAAAGTCTTTGTAAAAAAAAAACACCAATTTAAAGAGACATTTTATTAATGTACAGAAATTGCCTGGTCTGCGCGAGCTATTAAGCAGATTTTGTACTATGTATACTGGGCAATTAATAGGAATACTGAATAATTTTTAATATATATCTAATATTATATATAGAAAAGATCCAGACTAATACAAACAGTAGGGGGGAAAGGGATTGTTAGTAATGGAAACTAAGAATCCCATTGCTAGCAATATACCGAACCAGGTCGACTTCCTCGCGGTTCCCCCCGGAAACTAACATGGTTAATTCCTGATAAATTCATCATGATGGGCTAACTGGCTTGTTTTCATCCTCATCAATCACCCTTCACTGGTGCTCCGCCAGCGTATCCCGTTAGCGTAGGCAGGGTTACCATACCATTTTCACCCATAAAAAAAATACAAACAGTAGATACTCATAAAGACGAATCCTTACTTATAAATATGACAATAAGTTAGATTATTTGTTACCTTTTAGCGCCTCAGCAGGTCAAGAAATCACTATGAAATTTGGTATACAGGTACAGCGGTTAAGGTACAATGTGTTAAATATCATGTGTGCTATCAAGGCTATCGATACTAGATGGGGTGGTTAGAGACATAACTCGGTTTGAGTGTGAAATCGTTTCATTCTATTGAAATCATTATATCATTTTTTTTTACTCCGACGCAATCCACTGTATGCGGCCTCAAATAATATGTCGAGTGTTGTTCAATTTATTCTGAACAGCTCCGACTTTTTTGTTTATGTGTAGTCACGTTCACGTTCTAAAGAGAGGACTGTTATCTGTCTCGTGGACTTCAATCGAGAAAGAATGAGACGGTAGCATTCTTCTAGGGCTCATTTCAAAGGCTACAGCTGTAGTGATAATTAAATTTTTAAATTTCTATCGTGAACTCGTTTAGTGTCCGTGAAAATGTTAACAATTTTCAAAATTTGTTGTCTTGCAAAGGTCGACTGACCAAATTGCCAGTGATAGTCTATTTTTTGTGCCCGATGAAATTACGAGGTATGTTTTTTCTGAACTTTTGTACAGCAAAACTTTTTCTTGTCTATAGGCGACGGTTACCACTTTCCATCAGGTGGGCCGTCAGCTTGTTTGCCATTCTAAGTTGTATAAAAAAAAAACAGTGTATTCTGGTAACAATTTCCTTTAGATAGATTGCCTGTTTGTTTACCATTATAAGTTATAAGTTAAATAAAAAAAAAACCCACAAAACATTGTAGGAAACTAAAATAATGGAAGATAGATTTTTTATGATGGTCGTTCTTTTCTTAAGAACTTTATCTATTATAATTTAAGATATTTTTTTTTATACAACTTAAAATGGCAAATAATCTGACGGCCCATCTAATGGAAAGTGGTAACCGTCGCTTATAGATATGAGCAGTACCATGGACATAACAGAGTATACTATTTCGCCCATGATACCCCAATGCATTGCCATTCCTGAGGACTCAGGTGTTATTGCTCTGTACCCTGTAAATTCACGCCATATCCCACCCTTACTGTACTGTATAGTAAAATACTACAAACAAACAATCACTTCATATATTTCAATTTTTATCTTATTAGCTTGTACCTGCAACTTCGCCGGATATGTTTTCTGATCCAGATTAAAAGTGGCCTATATTCTTCTTTTTTTTTATACAACTTAGAATAGCAAATAAGCTGACAGCTAACAAATCACCCACTTTTCATTACCTAATCTGTAAACCTATTATAAGCTAACAAACAAACAAACTGACTTTCACATTTATAATATTAGTAAGACAAATGAATATTAAGTACAAAACAATTCCAAATTACTTCATCGTAGACAGCAGATAAGTGGTAAAGCGCGCGAAGCTATACCACAAACATATCTACGAACTAACTAAATCTTGGGAAGCCACGCACTACTGTTTACTTTGACAAAGTCGCAGCGGCGTTAAATTTTGCCCGCCGCCACCGCAGCGTGGGACTGTATCGCAGTGTCGCACTGCGCAACAGTCAATACATTGCATATTTTACGACAATTCTCAACTTTACTCCCACTATGTCTGTTTTTGTACCTTTATATCTGATTAGGTTATAGGCTTCATGTATCGATTGAACGAATTAAATACGTTATATCCCCTAATTAGTTCTTACATAACATACTTAGGTAATATTAAAAAAAAAATCAGCTTCACTCGGTGCTGTATAAGTGCAGGATAATTTTTTTGGTTTACAAAAATCATCAAAACGGCTCATAACTGGCTTTATTAAAAAAAAAAAAAACATATTGTGTACTATGACGTCCTAATAATTTTCAAATAATTAAGTAATTTAATTCAAACAGAATTACTAGTAAATAAATATTAATGTAACTAAGAGTTAGTTAAGAATAATATTATTTTGTCTAACTCAAAGTTTATTGGTATTCAGATACAACACTTGTTTGCAGATCGAATTAATGAATGTATAAAAAACACATGATTATGATTGATGTAAACTTACAATAATCTTTGAGGGTCGAAATAAATTATTTTACTTCAATTTCTGCCTTTACTTTAGTAGGTATATTTTTTTTACAAGTATATATAATACAAGTATGTTCGAATGCTTCAAATAATTAAATTG